AGCTACTGTTGCTGGTAAAGAGTCCCAAGCGGTCACTGTTCTTGGAAAAAAGCTGTATTTGAAGCCATTAATCTTGGTTGAGTATTGCCGGAAATTCTGGGTATGGGATGATCTTGTTCTTGCTGACATTGGTGTTAGGTAATTTTCGCATGGTATATCCACAAGGTCATTAACCACTTTATAGAATAAGGTTAGTTGTAGTTTTACCCTTCTTATCTTCCAATGATTCCCAGTCAAGTTCTTCCAACATGCTACCCACACTTCTGGTGTTCCTATAGCGATTAGTCGTGTAACGGCTGCTCGTCGCTGAACCATTTTAACCTTTTCCCCCTGCTCATTTTGGTAGGTGTTCCATAATGTTGCACAATAGTCAAAGTTGGATCTGACCATTGCAACATAGGCGTTTGTCTTCGTTTCACTATCATATGTTCTTATGTTGATTTTTTGGTTACTCTATCGATGTGTTGTTTCCAGGACAGGTCCGATTCGATATCAACTCCAATGTACTTGGTACTTAATGATCTTTCCAGCACGTGTCCCTTAAGCTTGCATGAATGTTTTATTGGTGAGCGTGATCTGGTGGTGGTTTGTACACTGCACTTCTGTGGGTGAAAGTCCATACCCCAGGTTTTCTCCCATTCTGCAAGTTTGTAAAGATCTTCCTGTAGTATGTTAGTATCAGCAGGAGATGTTATTGCTCTGTATACTATGCAAACGTCTGCAAATAGTCGTCTGTTAGATGTTATCTTGTCAGATAAGTCATTGATGAATAGAAGGAATAGTAACGGTCCGAGTACAGTCCCTTAGGCGACTCCACGGACCACATCCACTTTCTCCGAAGGTTCTCCCTTAACGATGTTGGGTACGTTTAGCCAGGACTGATTGAATCCACTTGTGTGTATGTTCTGTGACTCCGTAATGATGTAGTTTGTTTAGCAGGCGTCTATGTGGGACACATATCAAATGCCTTAGAAAAGTCAAGGATAACTATATCAAACTGCTCTCCTCTATCTAGCTTCGTCTTGCTCTGATGTGTTCCAGGAATTTACATCATAGACAGGTGAGTGAAACGGATCTATAGGTGCTTGCATCGTATCTGCTTTCTTTCTTAAATATTGCAGTAAGATTTGCTTGTTTCCAGTTTTCTGGTACTGTGCCGGATCTAAGATTAGCATTGAATACAATGCACAAAAGGGTTGCTAGGTCGTCAGCACATTCCCTTAAATTCTTGCAGGTATTTTATCACGGCCGTAGTCTTTACTCAGGTTGCATTTATTTGATTATTTAATAACTTTCTAACGCCTTCTGTTGTTTTTTGGTATTGTTTATATTGTTTTCATTGGTTACATTATTAAGAAGCTAACCATTGAGAAATTAAACACAAAACTTAATAAAATTAAAAACCAATTGTTCAAAGAACAATTGAAGGTCTTTCCACATCAATTTTCTAAATAATTGATGAAAAGCTAATTTTGGTTTACTCAAAGCTACTATTGGCGTCCAATCATAGGTTTCTTCATACTGATTCAATAAACATATGGTTTCTATAGACTTTTGCCTGAAATCAGGGAGATAATTGTCAACTTCCGGTTTAGAAAATGTCACTTCCGGTCTCATATGATAGCTTTATTTACACTGATTCCAAAAATATATGGTTTATATATACTTTTGCCTGTAAAAAGGGAGATAATTGGCTACTTCCGGTTTAGAAAATGTCACTTCCGGTCTCATATGATAGATTTATTTACACTGATTCCAAAAATATATGGTTTATATATACTTTTGCCTGTAAAAAGGGAGATAATTGACTACTTCCGGTTTAGAAAATGTCACTTTCGGTCTCATATGTAAGCTTTATTTACACTGATTCCAAAAATATATAGTTTGTATATACTTATGCCTGTTATAAGGGAGATAATATGCTACTTCCGGTTTATAAAATATCATTTCCGGTCTCAAATGATAGATTAATGTATGACCATTCAAAAAATATATGGTTTTTATGTACTTCTACATGAAATTAGTGCCAAAATGACTACTTCCGGTTCACTTAAGGTCACTTCCGGTTGACATTTTTCAAGATCATATGTCACCCAACATTTTGCAAAAGATCTTATGGCTTTATCATGTACCAATATGAAGTAATAATCAATTTACCTTAAAATAAAACATTTCAGGGGCAATAACTCCAATAAGATGTCGCTGGATTGTCTCAGACCAAATGTATCATATCTTCATCACAATATAACAAACATTTTGCACTTGTTCTTTAATATATAACATTAAAAATATCGGAGAAAATGCAAAAACAAGCAAAAGACAAAATTCAGAACACCACCTTGACCTTTGACCTTGACCTCATTTTCGAAGTAAGGATCCAAGGACCTCAAATAAAAAGACTATAGGTTTATACGGCTTACAGTTTATGAGTAACAAAAACATAACGACAAATTTATTTCATAAAGGTAGATAACTCCTATAAAATTTCATCGAATCGCTTCGATCCAAATTAGCCAAAAATTCCTGAGGATGTAACGAACAATTTACAAAAAGAATTTTGTTGATATCTTTTTTTGTTACGAAGGAGATGCACACACTTGATATACAGTGAATAGGGAGATAACTCTTACAAAGATAATTGTCCGGCTTAGCAGGGTGAAATTTAAAAGCGCATAAACTATACGATACAATTTGAGAAATATCTAAGCGACATATTGCGAAACAAATATTTATCGCAAGAACAAAATTTGGCGGAAGAAAAAAAAAAAAAAAAAATAATAATAATAATAATAATAATAATAATAATCAGAACAAATACAATAGGTCTTTCCACAGAAAAGTGGAAAGACCTAATAATCAGAAGAAAACCAATAGGTCTTTCCACAGAAAAGTGGAAAGACCTAATAAAACAGACCAACTTTATGATAGAAAAAGAAAGAAAAATCCAAAATACGATATATATCAGCAACAACAAAAAATCATAGAAAAACAATACAAGAAATAATTAAGCCTGGGGCGTGTTTTATTGGTTTCTTCTGTACATCTCCAGAATATCTTCTGGTAAAGAGTCCTAAAAAATTAATCCGGACCTCTTCTGGAGATATTCTGTAGAAGAGGCAATAAAACAAAAACTCAATTTGCTGTCGAATATAGCAGATTTTTTTTATGTTGGATGACATAAATGAAGTTTACGATAATTTATTAGAAAATTAAGATACGTCAATTCCGATTCTGTAGACATGACTGTTATAATGTTCTCTGTTTTGGCATTGATGTAATTATATACACTAAGTGTAAAAACAAAGAAAATTGGTTGGAAGAAATCGCTGTGTTCGTGACATTTTGTATATGCATGTATATAAGGTATACAAGGTCATGTAATTTCTCAGACTGTTTATTACTAATTCCGTTGGTTGTGTACTGATTGGTACTTTAATCTGGGAGAACAAGATTTATTTCGGTGCTAGTTGTAATTAGCTTTGAATAAACTTTCAATAACTGCAAATACTCTTATTTCGGTGTTTGTTGTTTTTTGTGTCTCGTATCGATCTTTTGAATTAATCTAGTTGCAACTGATTTTTACAGTTTGTTCTTATGTTGTACTATTACACCACTGTCCCAGTTTAGGGGAGGGTTAAGCACTCACAAACATGTTCAACCCTACCATATTCTTTATGTGTCTGTCCCAAGACAGGAGCCTGTAGTTCAGTGGTTGTCGTTGGTTCATGTCTGTCAACTTACATTTGATTTGTTATATATAACTAGGCCGTTAGTTTTTTCGTTTCAATTGTTTCACATTTTTCATGTCGGGGGCTTTTATAGCCGACTATACGGTATGGGTTTTTGTCTTTGTTGAAGGACGTACGGTTGCCTATAATTGCTTACATCCACTTCATTTGAACTCCGGTGGAAAGTTGCCTCATTGGCAATCATACCACATTTCCTTATTTAACTTTTAAACCCGTGTTTTCCTGAATATGCATGAAATATTTGTCACTGGACTTTAAATATAAGCAATCTACAATCAATCAATTTAAACTTGTGTTAAATAAGAGGAAACCATTTGATTTTTTTTTGGGGGAAAAGGGGGGAGGTGGGGACAGGAGGATTTTAGATATGAATATGATGGCCTGGTAAGAGCTGAAAAAATAAGCATGATTAGCGGCAAATTAAAATGAATTATAAAGCCGCAAAAAATCCTCCTGCCCCCTTCTCCTCCCCATAATATCAAATACTCGTCCCCTGACTGTTATTGTCCGTGTAGTTCTTATATTTATCCAGCTTATTGTCCCTACTGGGTTGTCCTACTAAGGCTGCCATACCATAAAAACGTTTATCACACAGCTCACATTCTATTATATCTGCATTCATAAATTATAAATGTCATTTAGAATAAGCGACGCCTTGTTTGTTATGTGCCTTTGCCGTCTAAACTACCTAAATAAAAGGAAGAGGTAGAAGAGAGCCAGAAGATCTTCCCAATGCAAAAAAATAAAAACAGAAATGGACCTTTTCTAGCTCTCTACCGAAGAACAAAAAAACAGGCCCCTGCAAACAGGTTTTAATGTATTTTCCCCAATATATTTTCCTACCCCTATTGATGGCTAATCTGTCGTGTTTACCTCCGAGTACTGTAACCTGGTCCCCGCCATGTGTGTCTGTCCCAAGTACGGAACATTGCCAGTAGGTCTAAATGATTTGGTCTTTTAACATTTTAGGGAATTTGGTTTTGATGGTAGATGTTTGACATTTACATATCTATTTACAACCTTTCTTGAATCAGGGGAGATTTTAACATATTGTGTAGACTTTTTTATGTTGACCTCAAAAAGTGATTTTGAGGGATGTCGATTGGTTGCTGTCGTATACCCACATCTTCTTTTATTAATCGTTCCAAATAGCAGTTTGTAAAGGTCATTTTGGATATATAGACAAGACAATAACAATTTCTTGAAGCTTTTATTTTCCTTCAATTGCTGCTCGCATATTTTCCTGTTTACGGTTTCATATGTTCCGCAGTCGAGAACACCCTTTTGACATTGCACGTGGGATTTCATTAATACACATATTGTCACAAGAAACATAAAAAAACAAGCACCAGAGGGAAAGTTATAAAGGTAAGTTTAACTCGTCTTTAAGTACACAAACTGAATTACAGTAAATTAATTTCCTGAGTATATTTGAACATGATATTTGCAATCGAATTTGCCATAATACAATTTTTTTTTAAATAAGCATATGAAATAAATCTGGTAATGTGTTGTATACAGGTGGATTAATTACTGTCGTTGCCATTTTGTTCAGGGGAGTCAATAGGGTAACCCATAATTTAGGGCTGGTTAAGGTCTCCCTTGAATACATTTTGTAACTCATCATAGATACTAGGCTTAAAATTTTGTTCGCCATAATCGCGTTTCGTCTACAAAAGACCCTTCAGTGACGCTCGAATCAAAAAAGTCAAAAGACAAAATAAAGAACAAAATGGCACTAATTAGTGTATATTTTAGACACAGTGATAATGTCTTATATATTTACTAGGAGGATGACTAGAAAGAGCGGGAACTTGCATTAAATTTCTTTTCAAGACTTTATGCAACTTTGTTTACTACTTTTCAATAAGACATGTGCTGAGATTTTTTTATTTTTCATTAAGAAAGAAGATGTCAATGGAGTAAAAAACAAATCATATTTTGAAGGGCAGATAAAACCTTTCAAAAGGAAAAAAAGACAAAAAAAAATAAGAATCATACAACACATTACACGTAAGCAACACGAACCCACTTAAACCTATAGAGCTGATATCAACCACAATCCCACCCCAACACCGTAGAAGTATGAAGTCGTTATTATTCTTTAAAAGCACATTTTGTATTGCTCATCACATGTTAACATTTACGAAAAAAGGTAGACACCAATCTGGGACCAAAAAATCAATTCTTATGTTTTACTGACAAAACAATATTCATCTGATTATATGGCATACCTGACATCTTTGCACAATTCAGGGGCGGATCCAGGAATTTTGAAAGGGGGCGTTATTCTATAAAACTGAACGCATACCAACTGCCGATGTCAATTCCCCCCCCCCCCCCCCCCCCCCCCGATTAAATGTGGGGGCGTACGCCCTCTTCGCCCCTGAATCCGCCACTGCAATTTGCTTCTTGTACTGCCTAGAGATAATCGATATTATTCTATAGGAGGCCACTGCAGCAATTTGTGTCAATTAACTTTACAACTACAGTGAGTTGAGAGTTATGTTCTATTCATATTAACGGTTGACATCTTTGATTATTTTGCCATCTCAGTTGTTTGGCAGGATCATTCCAAATAGATCTAAAAGTAGATATATGGCCATGTAAGATGAACTATATGCTCTCAGGAGATTATTTAAATAATGCAAATGATCATTAAAGATTGATGTATTTGCTGTTTTTAAGAATCGCGTTCAAAGTGTGATATTTCTTTCAAAATTAATCATTATTCATTTTCCTAAAAAGTTTATTTTAAAGACAGTCGTCAAAGGAGTCGATTCAGGAATATTTTCAACCCGGCCACAATACTACAAATTTACATAGAAATAGTTGTGATATAACTATTCAGTCGGATATCCAGATGAAATTAATCAAAAGAAATGAAAATCTTTGTTAGAGAAAGTAAAAAAGCCAAATTGGTATATTTGAATTGTTTACATGTGTTTCTATGGGCTTTAAAAGTTTAATCAAGGTGCATAATTTAGGATTTATGCATCTTATATACGTGTTTTATTTAAATTATAGGATGGAGCTTCCAGATATTTGTAAACTTTTAAATTATAGACAAATTTTCATAAAACAGTCGATTGTGGTAGGTGCAAATACAAGTGGATTTTTTTGTGCATAAGCATAAATACCGCCAAAAAAAAAATCCTCAGAAAGATAAAAGAATAATCTTTTTGAAGAATTAATTTGCATCTCTACACCCGGCGACAGTTTTTTGGGGAAAATCCCCAAAATGGGCAATAATTCTCAATTTTAATAATTTCATCGAAAAGAAAAAGTCGAGTACACCTTTCCATGTTCAGGCGTGTTTGGGTTGACTATTCTGTCTTGAAAACGTATAAAGCAAAAATATTTGATACATCATCTCGCTTCAGATTCTATTATTTTTATATATTTAGGCTACAGGTTGATTTAATAACATTAAAAATTCACAGTACTAAAAATGAAATATATGTGTCAAGTGAAATATCTTTCTAAAGAGTCATAACAACAGTGTAGGTGTGTCTTTGAATAACAAATTTTTACTAAAAGTACTTGACGACAGACTTTACAAGTGGATCTTAAAAATGCATAACTTCTAAAAACCTTCATTTTTTGTGTGTGTTATCTAGGGTTATTAGTCTTCAACCTCTGAAAATTTTGTGTCTGCCCTTCCACGAAATATTTAATTAGAATTTTTTTAAATGTTTTTGGACTTTCGAAAATTCCACCTGACAACCGATCAGACAATAGTTTTAAGTTGACTTAAAGTACATTAAATGATGTTCAATAGCTAGTAGATACATTTGTCTTTTAAAAGACAACTAGCATATAAGGATCATAATGGTGCTATGTGGATAAATTTATCGGTTTTTAAGAGCTAAATTGGCAGTGCGTCATCCCTACAATGGCTTCCATTTTTACGATTGTAAAAATTAGCTGGCGTAATGGGGAGATTATTTGGACAAAGTAGAATCCTGACTGTATTAATACAAAATAGCTTCGTATTGGTATGTCATATATAAAATTACGAAGTTCTAACCCCTTTGTGTTGTAATTGTAGCAGACTTGTAAAGAATTTTATAGAGTTTTAAGCAAAATAATAACACAAAGTACACTTTTTAGCTTTTAAACCCCCTGCAAACGAAGTACGATGACGGATACACGAGTACTGTCGGACCCAGAAATGTTGAATGCTTTTAATGATATGAGGATTTGTCGTTAAAAAAGGTTCGAATGTTTATTTGCAAGATGAATGTCAAAAATATAGTTTCACATATACAAAGTTGTGTTCGACTAGGAATTAGTTCATACCTCGAAGGACGAAGGATATTAAAATTGCATGCAAGTTGGGGCGGTATTGCATTGAGCTTGTCCGTCTGTCCGTTTTTCTAACACATATTTCCGTTACACTTTTCTCAGCTACTTCTAAACAGAATAACTTCGTATTCAATCAAAAACTTAACAGTAAGGGAAGAAATGTGTAAACACTTTTGAAATCTTTGAACTTTTCAATATGTTGTATTAACTTTTAAAACAAATCGCCTTAACTACTTAATATAATTTTTGGTCAGCAGCTCGACAATGATGAGTTGTAACGTTTGAACGCTTTTCCTGATCTGTCAACATCTAATTCCTGTTTGCTGATACTTCGAGTTACAAATGGAGGTATGATTAGAACGACGACACGTGTAGTCTTGTTATTGTTGTCCACCACCAGAGGGTTTTTTTTAAAGAGAATGATTGGAATGATTGTCTGCAATGTCATAGTCACAAACTTATTTCAACTTTACACCCCCTTATGCAAATGTCCAATGTTGAATCCGTCGCATAGCCTTTAGATAGCTTTAAGGATATCGATGATGCTCGATAAGTTTGTTGTCCAACACAAGATTTCAGATCTAGGTTGAGCTTTTGTGGTCAAGTCTGTATCATAGATACTGTAATCAATAGGTCAATTGTATTTGGTATATGGAATGATAGTAAGGTGTACATTTCTGTCTGGCTGTCTGGCAGGGTTAATCTGACGTTTAACTCGTTTCAATGGTTCATTTGTTAAGAATAAATTTTGTGGTTAGGTATGTTTCTCAGTTAGTTTCAGCAATAGGTCAGCTATTTTTGGTATATGGAATGACTGTAAAGTGCCGGTATTGCAGGGTTCATCTGACCCTGAACTCATTTTCATGAATTATTGATAATACACATGTATTAAGTCTATCTGATACTTGCAGTAAAACATTTATCTTAAATAATTTCAATATAAATTCAACCATGATTAGTAAAGCAGGCGAGAAGTAAAATTTATTAAACATATTAATTATCTTACTCTCTAAAATGTACTTTAAACAGAGAAATCGGACACACTAGCTGTTTACCGACATTCCTTTTTTCTGTAAAAAAGCCTTGACTTATATGACAATAGACATCATTAGACCCTCATATTTCAAAAAGCTTCAAAAAACCTGTCAACACTTACGTTGCGAGTTCGAACACCACATGTTCGACTACAATTGACTAGGATTTTCAGTTTTCCTGCCGAAGGTGGATGATTCTATCCGGGAACTCCTGCTTCCAAAATCCTTCAATAGAATCATTGAGCGACGAATAACATTAAGAATAAATTGAAATACGCAAAATTGTAAGAAAATCTTTAAAATTTAGTTATAGACTTTTATCTTTTATATTCCAGTTGGATTTGATAACTTTTATATTTGGACCGTGTTACAGTGTATATAAAGTGTGAACCCAGATAGTTCATTTTCACTGTCATATATGCGAGTATTACTATTGTAGAATGAAGGATAATAGGAAAAAATGTGTTTGTTTACGTTTTGAAATTACAAAATAATTGATTTGAATTTATTTTTAACACATTTCATGTACAATAACATGATCTAAGTCCAACAAAATGTTATTAAATCAACATAATCTAGAATAAAGTTATTGAAAACGATTTGTTTTACATTTGGTGCGATGCATCATCACTGTAAAAGCGATCATTTCTGATCTGGGATTTATTGAGGTGGGATGGATTTTCATTGTGGTTTTATGTGATAATTGGGCATGCAAAAACTGACGATATTCATATGATAAATTGAATATTGATGATATTTACAATTTAAAAATCAAACTTATCTTACATGCTTAACTACCGTACAGTTGATTGCGGACGGTGTGCGTTTTAAGCGATAAAGAAAAAGGCGAGAGAAGCATATTCTGAGTTCTGCACACAGTTTGTATACAAAAATATAATATTCACGTTGTATGCATGTTAAGCCATCAATTCTAATTAAAGAATTCCAATTCTAACTCGAATTGTACTTACTTAATGATAAACGCATGTATGTTTACAAAAACTCGCTTAAAAATGCTTTAAAAATGCAAACATTAAATAACTTTAAATAACAACTGATACATGTATATGTGCAGGTTAGTGAGCGTATCTTCCTCCAGAATATATCCCACATACCTAGTTCATTATTATTATTATGATTTTCTAAAATAGTCATGATTCAGTTTATAAAATTGTTTCTACTGTATTGTTCGTTGCGCGTTTTCGTAATAGAACTGTACCGTTCGTTGCGGGTTTTCGTAACAGTACTGTACACTTCGTTGCTAATAATATCGAGAAGAACATATGCTGTCTCCTTTGCAAACTCAATCTTTTACTTTTTGTAACGACTTTTAAAACTTTTTGACATTTATACCATTTCATAATGAAAATTAAAGCACCTGAATTTTGTGTATGTTGAATGTGGGACCAAGTGGAACCCACTCATTGGGAGGACCTGATTGCAATCCAGTTTCTGAGAGATTTCGCAAAAATAACTAAAAAAATCTATTATTTTGATCTTGAGGTAAAGGTCATGATGATATGCAACACATCGTCCTGCCATTAGTGTGTCACGGATTCGAAAATATTCGGGGGTAGAAAATTCATGAGTACAACGTATTTTTATTGCGAATTTTCCGTAAAAAGTTGTAATACTTAATTAAATAAGCTTCGAAAAGTTGGCAAGCAGTTTTACTATTTTATATACATATTTTTACCATATATTGATCGACTTTGAGCTGTCAAAATGCACAACGAACAGTACAAGAATTTGCAACGAACGGTAGTTAACAAAAACACTTAAGCTTGATTAAACTATAAATAAAAGCATGGTACGTTGACTCGAAAACTAAATGTGACCGTGCGTTTAATGATTTTTGTTGCTGTTTAAATTAATAATGGGTGTTCATGTATTTTTCAAAATAAGCAATGCTGTAAGCTTTGTTTTCCTAAACATGTTATACCTAATGTTACGGCCATAAGTCTTTGATGAAAAATATTTTGACGTTCTATCTACCAACTTCGCTTCGCTACACAGTAACGTCCGAAATCAACTTTAACGTGGAGATACCAGTGATACAAAACCATTAAAATCTGTTCTCAATATGTCATTGCAATTTCAAATGTGCGTATTCTTTTTATGTCCAAGATATACGCACCGATGACTTGCATCGATACGTGATGTATATAGCTCCTTAGATATAAACATATACTGAAAACGTAACCAGTCACTTAAGCGTAATAATGAATGTCGTTGTGTGAACGCTCTTCATTCTCTAAGATGCATTCATTAATTACATTTCATTAGTATGTGATGTAATAATACACTAGATATAGACCGAAACCCAAAACTTAAGCGTAGTTTTCGGTGACCGCTAATGTGCTTAACTGTGCAAGGTATATATATTCAATGATGAAATGTGATTGGAATGGATATAATTAACCCTTCACATATATATCCTTACGAATTATTAAAAACATTGAATTGAATATTTTCAGCAATAAATGCTCTTATTTTTACGGAACTCATTTTTGCAATTCGTTAGACTTTCACTCACAAAGTAAGCATTATATAAACCTTCTGACTTTATTTAGTTGCTCACCGAGTCGGCTGAATTAACACTCTATTTGATGAAAATGAAAAAGATTCCTACTGTGAAAATACACCGCATATACAATAGAAAAGAATCGCCCCTACAGTGAATATGAAAGTATTGTATCATTATTCAACAGCAAACATGAATCGCATAAGGCCGAGAAAAAAAAAATCTGTGTTTCCGGTAACCCGACCGACCCTGTTTTTTTAGCCCCGACCCTGTTTTTGACACAGGCTTCTCTTTATCGACATAATTTTTATCTAACTTGCTTCTACTGGCACAGAAATCCAGTAAAACATTTTATTTATGTCAAAAGGTATTCCAAATAGGTTAAAATCCAAGAAATTTGCACAGCATGTGCTTCAAAAACATTGCAAATGGCCGCACTTCCGGTATTTGAAACTAATATCGGACCCGGACTTAGAAAAACCATGATAATTTTCCGGATTTCGTTTACAATGTCAAAAAAAAAAAAAAAAAAAAAATCCGACCTACCGACCCTTTTTTTCAAAATGATGTTACCGGAAACACAGATTTTTTTTTTTAGGCCTAACGAAAGCAGCATAATGGAATTTAACTCAATAGCAACAAACTGAATAACAAAACCTGTTTTAAGTTATACAACATTAATGATTATGTTAAAAGGTATATTTTTCTGAAAATAAAACTTTACTGCTGCTTTTAAATCTCATGCACGCTCTGTTCGTGAAATATTCTTAATATTTACATGTTTGTGTAACGATTTCACACCTTGATCGCTGTATGTGTGATATAAAACCGTCTGCATCTCTTATCTGTATCATGAGTTTATTTAAACAATCCATTTGATATATTATTTATTATTTTATTCCAAAATCATCAATTTTTCGTCTGTTTATTTATTATTCTACATTAGAAATTTATGGCATATACAGTGAAAATGGTATTTCAGGATCCGCACTTTATATTCACTGGTATTAGTGAAACAAATACAAGGGAAACTTCTTTAACATGATCACTCTGAAGTTATCACATCTAGCTTTGATATTCAGTAACAGTTACAGTTACAGTCATCCATTAATCTAAGAGTAATACGGCGGATGTCAATAGTGGAGCAGAAACAGGTGACCACCTTGGAGCAATCGAGTTCGACAGGTTTGGTGGAGTGCTTGTTGCTCAATCTTTAACACTTTTTTATGTGACGGGTTTTATAATTGTTGTTTGTTTTTTCGTTTTGTATATCATTAAAAGTAATTTTGAAGTAATTATGAATAAAACATACATACTTGCGAAATAAGAGTAAATCGATTTGACCTCATATAATTTAACCGGGGGGAAAGTGGACTCGAAAAAACAGACCGATTCGTACGATAGAAAAAAAACACAGTCCCACACGCACACTTATTCCTACCGTGAAATCATCAATATGGCCAATGTTTGTGAACACAATGCTATTATGTTTATGATTTAAAAATCATTTACAAAAGTATATTACAATAATATAATTAGATGAAAAAGTAAATTCATCCTACCAATAAAACAACCAAACACTATATAGATAACTTTTAAGTTCTAAATATTCACATTAGCTGCAGACAGACTAAATATAATTTTTCGTTTCCAACTTTCAGCAAATAATGATCATAGCACTGCTTTTTGGTTCCCTATTTTCGGTAAGTTTTTGATTTTATATAAGAGTGAGGATTTGTGATATGACTGCCAATGAGATAACTATCCACCAGCAACCAAAGGAGATTTGTGATATGACTGCCAATGAGATAACTATCCACCAGCAACCAAAGGAGATTTGTGATATGACTGCCAATGAGATAATTATCCACCAGCAATCAAAGGACAAGGATATAAACAACTTACATTTACTATAATCGGTCATCGTACGACCTTCAATTAACAATGTTCTCTTCAATTTAAAATCAAATTCAAAATAGAGAGCGAGAGCGAGAGCGAGAGCACGGGGAATATGATAAATCTAAATGAGTCAACAACTTAACAACACTATAAACACGTGCTTTTATTTATACAATCTTATCACTAAGTATTGGAATTTTGATTATTTTTTTTTTACAAACATGTCCCACCATGTTCTTGACGACAGGATTGCAGTTCACTAATTGACTTGATCTCCGTCCAATTAATTTGTGAATTTATTGTCTACAGATTAGTGTACCTTTTATACACCCGCATAAATCAATCTGTCGTTCTGAAATATCATTATGCCACCGAGACAAAATGTTGTCCTGCAAATTGTGGTTACCGTATAAGTGAAAAAAAATACTTATAAACGATTTGTGGTTAAATTAGAAAAAATCAAAGCACTTGGTCCTCATGCAAACGTTTAATTTTTTGGGAAATTCGCAATGGAGATAAAGACATGTATACATATAGGTAATATAATTAGTTGAAAGAATGTTACAAATTACAGCGATATTAAATTTTGTTGTAGACTGTATACAGTAATGCTCCACCAGCCGACTATGTCTATAATGGTACGTATATCATAGAACGCAGTCTTCACAGAAGGATTTTTAGCCTGATGAGAATTGACAACAAATATATAGACAGGAAGAAAATGAACATTCCTCCTACAAAATATACAGGAAATAATTGTGTGCAAAAGTAAAAATGTACCATTAAACCAAACTGTTCAGTTGGCAAGAAAATTTTCCAAACTGTTCACAGTTCTCTGTTAGTGGTTCAAGTGAAATGATATCTAAACGACCCTAAAGAGTACGTAACTGCACTTTTTGTTTACAAAAGAAGGGAATGAATTGATTAGTATACTAGTTTTTGAAAGTAGTATCAACGAGGGGGAAATAAGGTCTTCCATATGTTGAAATGCCGACCATGTAAATAATTATCAACTAGTATCGATGTCTGTACTCCATACAAGATTTCATACAACAATGTCAATCGCAAGCCAGTAGTCAGCACTTTTGTATTGACATGACATATCATTGATATGTTATTTTTTTCGGTAAGTTTACTGTTTATAAAATGTTTGATTATTCGAAACACTGAGGGGTTTCTCTCCCATGTATAGATTGCCTTAGTTTTGTTTGGCATACCGTCTTAGGATTGTCAGTTTTTAATGCTCTTCAATGTCGTATTTGATTTGGCCTTCCAACTGTTTTAACAGTGGGAAATCTAGTGACAAAATATTACCTCCCCTGTAAACACTGAAAACTAGATCTTCTCAATGTTTGACACATTTTAGCAAGGACGCTATCAATTATGGATTCACGTAAAAACGTTCTGGTAAATAGTAAAAATAGAAATAAATTGAAATAAAAACAAAACTTCCACTCAATGTTATCATATTCCTCCTTAAATAGCAAACGACGAGTAAAGCAGGCCACAGAAGCTGGGTGTAAAATTGGTTTAAAATGTTGCTATGCGAATAAATTCCTGGAGTACCAACTTCAATTTATTTTTTTACTGTCTGTATACCTCTCTGGAACATGCTAATTATTCGTATATATATATAGCTAGATCAGAGAAAGTCGGGGAAAAAATTCCAAAGAAATCGATTGAAATGCAGCAAAGATTGGCACTTTTAAAATTCAGTTACTAAGCAAAATCAAACCGACCTTATCTCGATGTATAAACATTGAATGTGAATAGATCGAGAAGACCGCAAATACTTGTACAAAACTTGAGACGACCTTTTCTTAAAATTACATACAAAATAGTAGAAAGATACATACTTTATAAAAATAGTTATCTTTAATTTTTTAACCTGCTAAGACAGACTTTTAAATGTTTATATTCACGAAAAGACAATAGTTCTCTATTGAATGTACATGTGACAAGAGCAGACCGGTGTGCTCGATACCTTAGGTGTTAAAAAATAGGCATACTTTGAGAAATTGTAACATGCTAAGGACTTTTTTGAACACTCAGAAAATTGGTGACCCGAAAGATCTTTCGATTTTGTATTTCATGATTTTTTTCCATTTTTTTTTATCAATATGCAGCAAAGATTGGCAGTTTTTAAATTTCAGTTTCACAAGCTTCTAAAGCAATTATCTCGATAACTACTGAACATAAAACATCGTGTATTTACATGTATATTTCTAGTAATACAGTTTAACAAATAATTTCTTTAAAATGAACAATTATTATTTAGAAATAACTTTTGATCAGAATCATCACTGGTATTGTTTTATTATTGACTTACTCGACTCTATCATAAGAAGAGTGAATTTTCTTTTGTTTTCGTTCACTGGATATTCCACTGTTGATACGAGTGATGAGTCTCATGAAGACAAAACGCGCATCTGGAGTACAACAATTATAAGCCTGGTATCTTTGAAGAGTTTTTGTCGAGCCTGCGACTTTTGTCGCAGAAAGCTCGACAATGGGATAGTGATCCGGCGGCGGCGGCGGCGGAGTTAGCTAACTTCTTAAAAGCTTTATATTTTAGAAGCTAGAAGACCTGGATGCTTCATACTTTGTATATAGATGCCTCATGTTACGAAGTTTCCGTCTGTCATATATCCATTGTCCTTGACCTCATTTTCATGGTTCAGTGACTACTTGAAAAAAAAGTCAACATTTTTTGTAATGTTAATTTCTTTCTTATTATGGGTAATAGGATAACTATATTTAGTATGTGCATACCTTGAAAGGTCTTCATGCCCGTCAGACAATTTTCATTTGACCTCGACCTCATTTCATGGATCAGTGAACAAGGTTAAGTTTTCGTGGTCAAGTCCATATATCAGATACTATAAGCAGTAGGTCTACTATATTTGGTATATGGAATGATTGTAAGGTGTACATGTCCAACTGGTAGATGTCATCTGACCTTGACCTTATTTTCATGGTTCAGTGGTCAAAGTTAAGTTTTTGAGTTTTGGTCTTTTTTCTAATACTATATGCAATAGGTCAACTATAAATGGTGTATGGAAATATTTTATGATGTACATGTCAGTCTCACAGGTTTTATTTGACCTTGACCTCATTTTCACGGTTCATTTCTCAGTGTTAAGTTTTTGTGTTTTGGTCTGTTTTTCTTCAACTATAAGCAATAGATCAACTATATTTGATGTATGGAAGGATTGTAAGGTGTATATGTCTGTCTGGTAGGTATCATCTGACCTTGACCTCATTTTCATGGTTCATTGGTCAATGTTAAGTTTTCATGGTTAAGTTTGTTTCTTAGATACTATAAGCAATAGGTCAACTATATTTAATGCCTAAATTGATTGTAAGATGTACATGTCTGTCTGGCATGGTTCATCTGACCTTGACCTCATTTTCATGGTTCATTGGTCAATGTTACGTTTTCTTGTTTAAGACTGTTTCTTAGAAACAATAAGCAATAGGTGAACTTTGTTTGGTTTATTGAATGATTGTAAGGTGTACATGTATTTCTCGTTTGGTTTATCTGACCTTGACCTCATTTTCTTGGATCATGTTAAGTTTATGTGTTAATTGTAGTAAAGTTTTGTATTTAGGACTATCAACATAAAATCAATGGTTATTAAAGAAGGCGAGACATTTCAGCGTGTGCACTCTTGTTGCATAACTGATTTAAACATTTACAGAGTAAGGGTCGCTGTACCATCCAAATACTTTTGACACTTAATGAGTTCCAATGTTTTATAGTGAATACGAGCACGTGCAGAGAGAATGGTGATTTCAATTTAATTTTCCCCCATAACTGTTGTCCATTTTAGTTAATCATTCATGTGGAACCGTCGCTTCTGGTGCTGATTTTGATGCTAGCGGAGCAAGTGTAACAATCCAGACAGAACTTTATGTAATTGCGGAAATCAAATGTGCAGATGCAGTTACATATCATATCCGGCTATTAGATCCCACTAACATAGACACTGTATCAGCTAATATCTATTATACAAATGACGGCACTGGTACAAAAGGAACAGATTGTTTCTTTTTTGTAAGTTTTATTTTTCTTTCTTTCGTCTTGATTGCTTTTAAGAATTATATTTTCAAGAATAAAATATATTTAAGAATACTAATTAAGACGAAGAACATTTATATTTCAATATCCAAGTAAGAGTTCTAAATTATACATGGTGAATAAAAACAACGAGTTTCAGTAGCTTTAATGAAAGTGCATCTTCCAGAAATGGATCTATCTTCCAATAATTGGTAACAACGGATTTAAAACACAGATTAGACAGGTTCTCTTTGAGATTTAACGTTTTATAACTACTATAATGATGTTATTTTTACCTAAAGCAATCACACAACGAATCCAACTTGTATGTAGTGGAAATGAATGTATATTGGGGATATACGAATGACTCTTTAATGCATGAGTATGAAGCTTATACCATTACATGTACTACAGAAGGACTAGCGTCTAACAGCACATCGCCTGAAAGAACCATCGATGACAAGTTTGTAACCAGTATATTCATTCGTATTGCTCATATTTATATGCTAGAGAAAACAGTCAATGTATACACACATTATTTTGATGCTAACGGGTTATGCGCCTTTTTTTTAATCTTTCAAAATAAGAAAAAGTCATTTTGTACACACAAGCAGAGAGATATAGTAAGCCTACTCACTATGAAACTCTATAAGAATTGTGTTTTTTTTTTCAAATTTTATACGGTTCGTGCCAAGCCGATTTTAAATCTTCAAAAACATATCCGTAATGGATCTAACAACATATCAACTAATTAAAAAAGAAATGTCCTTTTAATCTTTCTTTGAACCGCATCAGTGTCTCCTGGAAATCGAGGTCGGGAAGTGATTCGATTCAAGTTGACTCGATCCACAGCTGGGTCAAACCAGAATTTAAACTGGTAGTTGCTGCTTCTCCACCAAACACGTGGCATTAAGACTGATAGGGAGTCAGAATAATATATCTGGATACGGTGACATATCATCCTTCCGGTTGTTATCATGTTAGCTAGCATGTACGTCAAAAATCAGACTCATCGTTTCTGTCTAATATTCATATCTCATTCAAATGTTTTCATTCTAAGTAAGCATATAGTGTTTGGCAAGGAATTTATCTATCAATAAATCTTAATATTCTCTATTCGCGAAAAAAATATTCACTTTTTTATATATCAAACCTATTTAACGAATTAAAACGGAAAACAATTTATTTTTAGTGGGATACGTATAGCAGCTGATTTGGAGAGTCATATAGGAGAGGGATACACTGGTATAACAAGCCTTGGTTTAGTGGATATTCTAGGTCGACCAATAACAGGGAACACAATATCTATGCAAAAGAAAGTAAAATTACAATTGTCGATTGATGGAAGTAAGTAAAGATGCGACTACTACATCCTTGAATATTGTCTTTATCGGTACCAAAATTGAAATATTTTTTTTTAATAAACAAATACGAAAGTAAATATATATTGCTGTATTGTTATATGAACAATTATGGTCTTACATCCTGTTGATATTATATTTTTTGCATTGCACAAGGTCTTGCTTTGTTCAGATTGTTTATGACGTTCTTACACCCAAACGTTGGATGTGTACTGATTGATACTTTAATATAGGAAACATGGTTGAAATTGTCTTTGAGCTAGCTTTCAATAACAGCTAGTGTTCTTAGATTGGTACTTGAGTCTTTTGTCTTTTTGTTAGATGTTTTTGTTTATGTGTTTCGTGCCGATCTGATATGTCAAGTGCTTTAAAATTTCTAACTGATTTTTAAAGGTTGTTCTTATATTGGGTTGTTACATCAGTGTCCCATGTTTAGGTGGGAGGTGGGTGATTGCTCACACACACGTTTTACTCTGCCACATTTTTTATTTGCTTTGTCTCAAGTCAGGAGACTGTATTTCAATGTTTGTCGTTAGTTGTCTGCTATATTTGGTTCTTATTTTTTGTCGAGCGTTCGACGAAAGTCACGGAAGCGAAACGTAGCAAATTATCATAGAATTTTACGAAACCTTGACAGATGCTTCTTCATAACCGATGGATACTGTATCCAGAACAAAATTGTGAAAATATCTGCTTTTTTTCTTAAATATTTAGATACAGTTCTTGGTGAAAACGTATTTGAAATCAATAACTTTGTCAAACCTTCTTAGAATTTTATGAAACTTGGACAGAAGCTTTTTCATGATTATGAGTTAACATTTGTTGGAAAATTTTGAAAGTATTTTTTTTTCCATTTTCCTGTATTTTACTGATAGATGTTACGAAACTCGGACAGAAGTATATTCATAATCAAGAATAAGCATCTGTAGAAATACTTGATTTTTTTTTTCAATTTGTCCGTATTTTACTGATAACTGAACTGTTTTTTTGGTAGTAAACATTGCACTTTTGCACTGACAGTAGCAATCATAGGCGAGACACACGGTTCGACGGAACACTTAAAGACTATTTTTTTCATAATTTTTTAGCTTATTTTCTTTTCACATGCTGCTAAGTAAATTTTATAGGACTACTTTGCATTTCCAAAAAAAAAAAATAATAAATAAATATATCGACATAAAAACGAAAAAAATTGGATAAGAATGCCAAGTCATATGTTATAGGACTAACTGTGTGTAAGCAACCTTTCCCGTTTTTTACATGAATAAATGCAACGATTTAAAACAAATATTTTGAACAAATTTGATTCTAGAAAATAAATAGTATGTATATTAAGGATGTACTTAGGTGAAATTAAAAAATCTAGAATTTAAAATTGATACTTTAAGTCAGAAGAGCATTAGTTAAGGAATAAAATAAGCTAAAAATATTGATAGGTTATGGAGCTTTTTTCGAGATATTTAATATTTAAGAAATGGCGAGAAAAGGCTGACTCGGACTTTTACCTTATATTTGCATTTGTATTATTAGGGTCTCAAATCGAAAGAAAAGAAATCAAGAATCTGCTTGGGTAAATGACCTTTTATGAGCTATTGAAGTCTTATATGAAAAGAAAAATTGGTGTTATGGATCAAAATATTTTACCCTGTATCGTAGGAATAAAACCAAGGAGTCCGAACATCTGACAAAAACTCCTAAACCTGACTTAAGTACATCCTTAAGTAAGAAAAAACACGTACTTATAATTTTGTACTATATTATGCTTTTGTTGCTAAAACTTCAGGTAGTGGCAAGGTTGGAGTAATACCATATTGGTGTAAAGCTTATAACAGTGATAATACACAAACGTACAGAATACTGAGCGCAGGGTAGGTTTCATACAGTGAATGTGGGATGGGGATTGGTGGAATAGATGTTAAGCCTAGTAAGGGAGCTACCATTTGATTTTTATGGGGCGGGGGGGGGGGGGGGGGGGGCTAGGATGAAATTTGAAAAAAATAGGCAGGACAGGAGTTTTGAGTAAAAAAAAGGCAGGATGACAATTTAGTTAAATAAAAAAGTCAGGATAAACTAAAAATCAAGGCAGGACCGAATAGAGGGAAAAATAAAAAGGCAGGACAAAATTTTTCATCCTAGCCCCCCCATAAAAATCAAATGGTAACTCCCTAATACAATAATAACAATACACATACTTATAGAATACTGGGTGTAGGGTAGGTACTGTACAAAAACACACACAGAATACTGTATATGTATAGGTATGTGTAAGATGTCTACAAAAAATAGTTGTCAGGTAGATATCAAATAATGAATTGAAGTTTTGAAGTTAATGCAAACCTGCCTACGAACAGAATAAATTGACGTATGCTTGATTATTCAGGTCCTGTGGCAAATATTTGTTCATGTTCAGGACGACAAGAAATTAAACATTACACGAAACAAATAAGGACTGTGACAAGGGTTGACCAAAATGGATAGCTGGAAATTTTGACTGCCCCTTGAAAAAGGTAATGTTTGATAGGGGCAGACATACGGTCTTGCAACAAATCATCCACGGATCCATCATGATTGTTGCAATGGTTCTTAAACTTGGTGAGAACGTGTCACTCTCTTTATATGGATTGTTGGATTTAAAGTCGCCAATCATACATGTATTTATACTACAGCACCAGGTAAACTCCCTAGCCATGGTCTTGATGCCGAACGAGTCTGACATCGCCATGGTAATCGACGAAAAGACAAGCAGATCCACAAAACACTGATTTAGAAAACTAAAGATTGAGCCACACTAACCCCAGCAAAATCCGCGGGTAATTTCAGGTGCTCCGGAAGTGTAGTCAGTTCCTGATGAAAGTACAAATCCCGTGATAAGTCTCATCCGGTGATGTCACAATCGACGAAAGGAGGGCATTTGTGGTTACGACAATTGGAACATATCCGTGGTCATCTGTGACAGATATTCCATAACGGTCAATCAACTCGTGATGGCGCCCTTAAAACCTTCAAAGGGGGGTTTCAAGTTCACAACTTGGAATCCTTGGTTCAATAAATTCCTTGTAAGGAGCAACCCTTTATCGAGGAAATCATGATAGGAAAGTATGTAAAGATATAAGTCAAAATATGAGGCAGCCTTAACTTTATCTGTGGTGTCCTCTATTTCAAGTTCGATGGGATAGATGCGTTCAACATAGTCACCAAACTTTGGATTATTTAGTGAGAGGATATCATCTATATAGCGGAATGGAAAGTTAAGGTAGCTGGGTTGTCTAAATGTTCAACGATAGATTTTTCTTAAACTTCTGTAAAACACTTCAGGGTCAATGTACTTTCAAATTTCAACATAAAAACTGGGGGTCACATACCTTGTTTTTCGTTAAAATACATTGAAATTAACGAAATTTGGGTTATTTTATATTGTTTATATAGAGGAAACTTAATTTTTCCTTATCGAGCAAATTTTAAGACGTTTTCTTAGCGTTATGTCTTGTTTCATCGGCATTCTTTGACGTGCAGATGTGGTTAAGGGCTCAAAATAATTCTCAGAATACCACCAATGTGATTTAATGTGCATCAGACTTCTGTCATTATCTGTTTATAGTCGATTTGCCTCTTACTGACAAGTTTTTTTTCTGTAAAAACATTTATTTTTTTTCAAATTTTAACTGAATGTTTTCACAAAGTAGTGCATAGAATACTGTTTTGGTTTTTTTGTGGGGGGGGGGGGGGGGGAGGGGGATATGACTATTTTCAATAACTGTGCAGTGTGTTTTGGAAGAATAATCCCAAAATAATAGTTCTAACTTGTACACTAGTTAACTGAAATGTGATTCTAATAGTGTACCAGCGCAATCACAAACTTGAAATGCGCTAAAAATACGTAGTCATTTCTTACAGAATTTATTGAAAAATAGACAAAAACCACTAAAATATCCTGAATTTTTCTAGCGAAGTTGAAATAGATGTAACAAAACATTGTTTCGTAAGTGCTTGTTTATGATAAAGTTAAAAACACTTTTGTTTAGATGAAGGAACATGACTATGTCAATGAAAAAATGACAGACTAAGGTATAGATTCCTTCTACATTTGCTTAAAATCATGAATTTGGCAACATAAATATATCATCTCAATATATAATTTCTAAAAGAAAACAAGCTGGATGATGATCTTATAGTTTTTTCTCTCACGTCTTGAGTAGTAGACTTAATTACTAAAATTTTAATAATTTTCTAAGGATGCCAATGATGCAGGGGTATGCTGAACCAACCCACAGCGGGATGGTCGTGTGTTTGAATCTCACTGCCGAAGGTGAACAAATTATTTCCTATATTGAATGTAACTTAACTTAATTTCAAAAAGAAAACCAACTACATGCAAAAGTCTAAAACAGAAATAATTATGTTTGTTTTAAAAGAATGTGTGTACCCAATTACACCCCCCACCCACCACCCCCCCCCCCCTTTTTCCTCTGCTCCATTGGCCTCGGTCCAGGGTGCGCCACATCAAGTTATCATTGGTAATTCAATGATTTTTCCTTGTAAAGACCAAATTTAGTTTACTGCTTGACTGAACAGACTTGGGGCATTGAGTTTCCACCAGCACTATACCCTATTAGCGCAACAATATGTCTCTACTCGACTCTCCCCCCCCCCACCCAATGTTTTCCCCACAAGTCAGAAAAAAAGTGTGGAAAGATACCAATGACCTAGAAAAGACGAATTATCTTCAAATTTAATTTTCTGTAATATTCGATCAATTATCTTTCATATGAGTCCAATATGGCCAGTGCATGACCTTTGGTGCGAATGCAGTATTCAATTGAATTTTGGTAGTGTCTTTTCGATAAGTAAAGGTCTAAAATGCCTGAAGGGAAAGGGTTAAACGATAGAGAAGGCTAAAATTGGCTAAGAGAATTGCTTTTCATTTATACTTCTGAAATATCAAATAAAAATAGGGGTTTATGGGCCTTATTTACCTGAAAAATAAAAAAAAAACACGGATTATCCAATCAAATTCGGTATAATTATCTGCCCTTGATTTTAAAAAGATTTTTTTCTGATAATTTCAAATATACTTCACGACACTTAATTTTTTGATAGTTTAATTTTCAAATTTCAAGTTTTAGGTATATTGTTGTATATTGACTGGTATTTGGTAAAATATTTTTTAAAAACAAAAATATTTTTTGTTTGAATCAGAGAATTTTTTTACAAAGTTTTTGTTGTTGTTGTTTTTTTTGTGTTTTTTTTTTTACAAAGTATGATTTATCCCTTCCTAAAACAAAATATTTGTATTTAATGTCACTCTTGTGGTCTGAGCACAAAATATGTTTACTGTGTACTAGGAAAGTCTTGGCAACTCTCCTGTACATAAAGGTTTTCAATTTTAAATTCCACTTAAGTTAATAGGTACGTAAATGAGCAACCTGTCAGTTTTTTTTAATTTTGTTTTTCAAAAAACTTTGGCATTAGGAACTGCATGCATATATCGCCAAAAAAAAGTAACTTTCATACTTTCGGATATAAAACAAATTGACTATCCTGTAGATGAAAGTACAAACTATAGGATGCTTGTAAACATCGCAAAAAATATTCAATAATTGACATTTCGATTTTTCATCTTTTATTTTAGATGTGGAGATGGTATCGTGTTTCCAAAAACTGTAGGATTTACCACAAAAGGATTGACAGCTACCAGTCCACATTTTAAAGTGTTCGGACTATTGGAAGCGTTAGGAAATACTGCTGAGGTATCTTACCAGTGTGCATTTTCTACTTGTTCAGCAGTTTGTGATGGGGTAAGTTAAAAAAAAACTCTTATATTGATATGAATTTTCTACGTGTTCAGTTCTTAAAATACTGCTGCACATTAAATTGATGTGTATTTTCTACGCGTTGTCCTAAAAATACTGTTGGAGCATTATTTTCATGTGTATTTTCTACGTGTTCATGCTGAAACATTTTATTGATGTGTATTTTCTACGTGTTCAGTCCTAAAAAAAAATACTGATGGAGCATTATATTGATGTGTATTTTCTACGTGTACAGCATCAGTTGGAATAGATTGGGGTGTATTAAAAAAAACTACTGAAACATCCTAATGGTTAACATGTATCTACTAGTTCTGTCAACTTCAAAAGCATTTGATTGGATAAATTACCAATGTTACTTTTATACTTTCTCAAAAGATGTGATTTTCGTAAGTTAGGCTGCTGAAGTTTTTAACTTGTATGCAGTATCTACGTTTTTAAAGGCCATTGATGACGGGTTATTCCAAACTACAAGATGTTGTTGCAATATCTAACAATAGTACAGTCTGGGTTTCTCTGCTTGTTCAAAGACATGTTAAAATTATACAAAAGTTGAAGGAAAAATTTACCTAAGAGTATACTAAATAACGAGTCTGATATGTCCATTGTTGTCCTTTTATTACAGGATATTTCGAGATAGTTAAGACTAAAATTAATAGGAATATCCCCCTAAAGTGTTTTGTAAGAAAATTTGTAAACATTAACCTAGTTTGACAACGTTACAATAAATCGAACCTGTATGTATAAACTTTCTTCACATAGTTCTTCAATTGTAATATTTTTATGGCAAATCTAACATCACTCCAAATGAAGATAAATATATTATACTTGTTTTTTCAGTCCTCCTGTGCATTACGAAACAAGAGATCTGTTGGTAAGTGTATGATGTAATTGATTAAAAAGATTCTTTACTATTTTTATCTTGTTTGTCTAAGTCACATACATACTCTTATTCGAACTGTGATGAAATTACATGTAGTTTTCTTGCTCCGTTTGAGTTGAACTATAACTTTAAATCGAAAAGATAATGCATTTATCTCTTATTTTCTTAATTATTACTGTATGAATTCATTCAAATAGATGAACATTTGCTTAGAAAGCAATACAGTTCAACTAGCAAAGTTTTATGCAAAATTTAGTTTTACCAACATCTAGGACATTCACAAAGGAATGTATTTGTTTCATTTAAAAACTTTATCCAAATAAATTTATGGATTACACTAAAACTGACAGATTATTGAATTCCGATGTTTTCTTTCACTAAATTTTCAAAAGAATTATATTTAAATCATCATGATTAATCACTCTCACCTGTGATGTATTAGTGCCCGAAGTTTAAAGGCATTAGATTAAGTCTGTCATAAGTGAATCGCCCCTGGACTGCTCCGTTAAGAGTTATGGTGGGACAAAATCGTAACCTGATGGATTAAACACAGGGTTATGATGTCGCAACAGACATCACACATGTGTGCTTTGTTTACTAAAAATAGAAAAATAGTACAAAAATATCTGTGAACAAATCTGAAAATTCTCACAATTGCCAACTTTTATTAAGCTGTGTAGGAAATGGTGATTGATTGTTGGTTGCTTATCGTTCAGTGGCAAATATTTCATGCATGTTCAGGATGGAAGGAAATGATGTATTTGAAACTCGCTAAAAGAATCATTTTGTTGAAAACTCCAATTGCGATTAAAACATCTACACTGTCGTAACTAAAAACAAGAAATTTGACAAAGTTCAATCAAAAACTGGAAAACTGTGTAATTCTAGTATTGTTAAGTTTAAAGAAGGTTGTGAATATAAAAGAAATTATACTATTACAAAGCTAAATTTGAAACGGATGACTCTATTATGATTCCATGCAAAGCCATTCATTCTGTTTACTCGATTCATTAATATTTTAAGAAACGTGAATTGTTTGACAATTTTTTGACGTAACAATTATAATTTACACGATTTACTAACTTGTAACTAGTTGACGATCGGGCAAGAAATCTCAAATCGGACAGACAATAAAAGTATCTAAAAGATAAACTTCTTTTTTACAGAGAAAGAAAGACTGCTTTTTGTTCGCACGGTTAAATACAAGTTGGAACACTTGAGAAATTTGTTATACCAACCAACGATAGATGAGCATGAACTTGTTGGATTAGATATGATCGTGAAGATTGCCGCTACAGCTACAAGTGTTATTGGTGGAATAGCTGTAGTATTACTTGTTGTAGCTTTATGTAAATGTATAAAACTTAAACGTAAAGACAACCAGGAGCCAAGTCTAGAGCAGACACGAACAGAAAAAATGGGGCTTGAAAAAGTAAAAGCTTGAAATTAAAATTGTTTATGCTATAATTTTGCTACTCTAGACAATAAAACATTTGTAACAGAATCCTGATTGTTCATGTAATTTTATTTAATTCGTGATTGTTCTTCTGATCCACTTGTTAACTATATTAAACCAACCGCTATGTCATTCACCAGTAGTTATAACAATGGACTTTTTTTTAAATATAGTTTTCTGTGCAGTCTTTCAAGAACAATTGTGTATCGGATCATGCTTTTTTTTTCTTTTTTCATGGTGTTGTCTTTTTTCGTCGATTTATGTTTTTTTTTATTGTCCCCTAGTATGGTAAATACATCTCAGGATTAAAAAGGGACGGTTTAACTGACATGAAGCAAACTATATTCAAACCCTTCCTAAAGATAAGGAAAAAACGACTAGAAAATCCTTTTATTTTCACTCTCAAATATACCGATGATTTCCTTTCACTCAATATTCCTAAATCAGAGAGTACTCGAATACTATTATGCTATCTTGAATATGAAAATAAGATGTGGTATGATTGCCAATGAGACCACTCTCCACCAGAGACCAAATGACATATAAGTTGACAACTATAGGTCAGCGTACGGCCTTAAAAAATGAGAAAAAATCCGTACCGCATAGTTAGCTATAAAAGGTCCCGATTTGACAAATGTAAAACAATTCAAACGAGGCCTGATTTATATTAAACAATAAACGATAAACAAATATGATATTCAGCAACAAACGACAACCACTAAAATTACAGGCTCCTGAATTGAGATAGGTACATATAGAATGTGACGGGGTCAAACATGTTTGCTGGCGACAATCCCTCCACCTAACCCGGGACAGTGGTGTAACAATAAGACATAAGAACAAACTATAAAAATCAGTTGAAAAGGACTCAACTAATCAGATCGATACAAAACACACAAAAATCTTAACATAAACACAAAAGTACTCGCAGTTACTGAAAGCTATAATAGTTTAAAGCCAATAATAGCCAATAAAAATCGTGTGTCACTCAGTACACATCAGACATTGAACACTATGTATAGGCTCTATGACAGATTCTTTTATTTCAGTTTTCCTTTTATAAATATTCTAATCATGATTTGTATCATCTATTTTTAGTAATACATTTAAAGGTATGAACTGATATCTTAGCACTATCAGCATTTCAACTATGACAATCAGCTCATTATTGTTAAGTTGTTGTAAACTTAACATAGATAGATGATATACTGGCTTATGCGACAGATTTTATACTTAGAACAAGTCTGCATTGCCATTTGCCTGGCATCACATTGTTATGCCAGGACATGTCAGAATTCGTGTAACAACTTTCAGCACTAATCAGGATTAGCTATTTGCGTAAATGCCATCACGAGTTGGTTGACCGTTATAAAATATTTGTTTCACAGATGCCGACAGATATGTTTAAATTGTCGTTACCACTATCACGTCTCTTTTCCTCGAATGTGACCTACCTATCACCGAGTTTGTACTTATATGATGAACACGACGGATGCCACATGTGGCGTAGGACCTCCTTACCTTTCTCGAGCACATGAGATAACTCCCGGTTTTGGTGGGGTTGGTGTTGCTCATTCTAGTTTTCTATATGTTGTGTATTGTATACTGTTGTTTGTCTTTTGATCGTTTTTAATTTTTTTGCCATGGCATTGTCAGTTTGTATTCGACTTATGAGTTTGAATGTCCCTTGATATTTTTTGCCTTTCTTATGAACATTTAAATATACAAAGGAAGCCAGTCAAGTAAGAAGTCCCTTTTGTAACTTGTTTTCTTTTCACTTATTTGATCATACAATGTATATGCATTTTGCAAATGAAGTTGTTTAATATATAATTGTCAAAGAAAAAGAATTTTGTCCGGGGCTTATGTCCTTAGACTTTCTATCCTACATTCGTTGGTTTTATCTAACTTCGGGAAGTAATAATTTGTAGGTTTCAAATAATTATGATACATATAATAAAAAGGAGATATTGTGTGTTGTATGATTGCCAATGAGACAACTATCTACCAAAGTTCAAATGAAATGGATGTAAGCAACTACAGGCGACCGTAAGGCCTATAACAATGAGAAAAACCATACCAAATAGTCGGCTGTAAAAGACCCCGACATGAAAAATATAAAAAATATTTATATTATTCTATGCTTTAAAGTGATGTAAGTTTCACTCCGATGCACAGGTATAATGCTTATATGTTTACTAGTATATGATGTGAACATTTAATTAAACAAACAATTGTAGAATAAACCCTTACTTTTGCAAAATATTAAATTATTTGATTGTCTGAAATCAGGTTTGATTCTTCTTAGTGTTATCAAAATATGCTAGAAAAAAAAATAAAGTACATAATTAGGTCGAGTCTGAGATTACTATTTATATAGTCACAGGTAATTGATTTTCTTCACATAATTATAAGTAACATGTCATGTGATATTTAATTGTACAAAATGGTGTTGAAAGTAAACACCAGTGTTTTCTTCCTCCTTATTAAGTTAATGGTATGTTATTCACGTCATCTTCAAGCGACTATAAATCCAACAATAGGAGCACCATGGCCAATGCCACAGAAATATTCACCTTCAAACAAGGTGTATATGTTAGACGAATCAACTTTTAGATTTGAGGCGACTGGCGAAACATGTGATATTCTAACCTCGGCTTTTGATAGATATAAACAAATAATATTCGACACAACTTTTAGATTTCAACCAAAACATGGAACAGACACCGAGAACGCGTTGACAGTTGCATCAGTGAAAGTTGAATCGGAATGCGACAGATTTCCAAGTTTGGAATCTGACGAATCTTGTAAGTATGCATCATCTATCATTAGGGGGACCTCGTTGGCCGAGTGATCTAAGTAGTCGAACTACTGTATCACTAACCTGTCAACACTGATGTTGTGAGTTCGAATCCCGCACGTGGCAGGTCCGCTCGACTCCAATCTCAATTGACTAGGATTGTCAGTTTTCCTACCGAAGGTCGGTAGTTTTCTCCGGGCACTCCGGCTTCCACAATAAACTGACCGCCACGAAATAGCACAATAGTGCTGAAAGTGGCGTTTAACACCAATCAATCAATCTAATATCAGGAATTTCAAATGTTAAGGTTTAGATTCTAAATCAATGAATGAATATAAGGGTTTTTTTGGCTTCTTAAAATATGAATTTACCAACCCACCTTTCTTCTTTGTACTGGTTAGTTCGTGTGAAACGAGTGTGTTATACTAAATTGTGTTTAAGACATTTTATGACACTACAGTACGATGAAATGGTAGGAATTGTATAAGTTTCCTAAAGGTGAGTATGAATGTAAATCATGTACCTTTTTTCGTATTTACAGTTAAAATCAATAAATTCAAAATTTGAGCTGCAACTGAGTTTTATTTCTCAGCCAATATTGTAGTCCAGCTCTTTACATCAATTACTACTTCATTATGCGAAGAAATTAACTGAAACTAAATGTTCAAATAAATTTATTAAAAATGCCTTTTCTATAAATAATTATATTCTAAAGTTAAATCAAATTCCTGATTTTTTCTTAATTTTATCGGAATATTTGGAAATAACTGTTCTTACCAACAGCGGATCCAGTAATCTGAGTTTTGGTAAGCGTATTAGCTTAAGATTTAGGTTATATCTAATCTTAAAACTGTTTTTTTCTGTTTTTGCATTGCTTTGAAATTGTTAAATTTTTAGCTCACCTGGCCTGATGTGCGTTAAGAAGTTAATTATTGACGAAAGTCTTTTCATATTTACAACTGTGAAGGATTGTTTTTCAGACAATTCGTTTTAAGGCTCTTTTGATCGTACAGCTCTAAACGTTTCTACGTATTGTTACGGCCAGAGATCACTTTTAAATTGTAGCCAACAAAAGACACAAATCAATAATAAAATTTATTAAGATTTATTATACACAAGTTTACAAGAAATATTACACAAATAGAAATGTCAGCTTAACTGTTAAATATATGTCCGATCCTTTGTCTTTTTTTTATCCGGAATTCTTCTTTTAACTGTAAAGGAATATGTCTAATACGTTTACAATCTAGTATGATGTAGCTAACGTAAATAAAGTGTCAATCCAACACCTCCAAAGAAATTCTGAGAATACAAGTATATGAATGTCTATCCAAGTCTGACTTTGGTGTCTGTATATATAGTTACCACGGAAACTTCTAGAAAATGTTATTTTCATTGATAACTTTTCGAATTATAAGCCGGTCTGCTAGAAAACCATGCAATAGGATCCAAATGCAATGTTATCATATTGACCTGACATTTGACATTTTGATACTTTCATGGCAACTACTCGCTGTGCAAAATATCTTTTAGAAATATTCAATGGTAGTCTCTTTATGGAGCGCCATCTATGTAACTACATCTACAAGTAACAATTCATAAGTAGATATGTCATAACTCTTGAGTACATTTTGCATTTGCTGATTTTAAAACGATAATAAAAGTCATAAAATAAACGACAATCAATTGAATAATAAGAAATACTTATTAATCTGTGTGTAATGATTAAATTCGGATCAGTACTTAACAAAGGTTGGGAAGCATATACGTCTAGTGAGCGCCTATGGTGGTCTTACAAGGCATATTGAATTGTTATGCTATTTCACGCATTTCCAAACGAATGAATATTTTAGGCAATGATCCTTGGTTTTTTTCTATTGTCACTGTTTGTTAACTTTTACAAAAAAATCTTCTCTGAAACTACTGGGCAAAATTTAAACAAACTTGGCCACAATCATCATTGGGGTATCTAGTTTTAAAAATGTGTCCTACGATCCCGCCAGCCAACCAAGATGTTCCCTATTATTTAGAAAACCGCTATTCATAGAGAAAATCTGACAGTGGCAAAAATGTTCAGAATGTTGAGCTCTACCTTATGTTTATTTACGTTGAAACTGTCAGACGACTTCTTATAGGAGTTATTGCACTTTAATGATGAATTTTACCATTTTTCAAGTTTTTGCCAATTATTTTGAAAATTATAACAGATTGACAGAAACTTTAAATAGCAAATATGATCGACAAGAAAATATCTACAAACAAGTCAACATGACCGAAATCTTCAGTCGACTCCTTCTTAGAGTGTTTGCCCTATAATGATGATTTTAACCATTTTAGGGGGTTTTGGCTTCATATCTTAAAACTATATCAGATAGATAGAAACTTTAAATGGCAAAAATGATCATCAAGACCAGATCTACAAATAAGTCAACATGACTGAAATTGTTAGTCGACTCCTTATTGAAGTTATTGCCCTATAATGACGATTTTTCCTATTTTTTCCTAATATCTTGAAAGCTATAATAGATTGATAGAAACAAAAATGATTTATGATCTGCAAGACAAGATCCACAAATAAGCCATAATGGCCGAAATTTTTAGTCGACTCGTTATTGGAGTTATTGCCTTTTAATGATAATTTTACTAAAAAGTAGCCATTGTTGAAGATGTCTCTTGAGAGCCTCTAGTTTAGTAATTTTGAAATTATTTATATTCTTATAATAACATTAATGGTATGTATATTTGATTAAATAACAGTTAATTTGCAATGTCAAATAATTTATAAGATAGAAAGTGGAATGGTTTCAATGGTCTTCATACATGGACCTCGAGTCCGATCATATGTGACAATACTTAATAAATCGTTCCAACAGAGTCAATAGATGGCTTCTGTAATAAATACTGAACGGGAGAATTCGCAGAGTAAGCTGTCATTTTGGTACCATTTAGTTTAAAGTCGTGAATTTCATAGTATACAGAATCTATTATTTCAGACGATCTCACCGTCAGTGAAACCGGTATCGTAATTAATGCAAATGCTGTCTGGGGTGCTCTCAGAGGACTGGAAACATTTAGTCAACTTATAGTAAATAAGGTAGGATTTTTTAACATCCTCTTCATGTCAAACTGTATATTTATATATACTCTATATAACATACAGATTTGAGCTAGGCTCTATGCTTTGAGATTTTGGTAAGCTATATTTAATAACGGTTGTAGATAAGAAAAAAATCAATACATTTTAATAAAAGAGGAACTATTTATCCTTTCCGGAGCATATGAGTCACCTGTGACTTTAACGAACAATTTTGTTGCACAAACTTAGTTTTCTATGTAGTGTTTTATAATAGTTTACTCTTTTTTTTTCACTTTTTTTTGTGTCTACTTCTTCGTATGATCTCTGATTGCTTTCTTGGTACCATCCTGTTTTTTTTAATCTGTAATATGTAATCAAATAAGACAAAACTGCCTCGGTGGTCTCGTGGTGGCGTGTTCGCCTCGGGTGCGGGAGGTCATGGGTTCGATTCCCGGCCTGATGAAACCAAAGACTTTAAAATTGGTATTAGTTGCTTTTCCGCTAAGATCGCGGCATTAAGGAGTCAAAGCTAAAGACTCGACTGCTCGGAGTCAGAATAATGCATCCAGGTATAGGGTGACATGTTTTCCTCAGGACTTATCTTGAGGCAAAACAAATCTGTAAACAACACCACAATTGAAGACACACGACCTCACTAGGTTTGCAAACTTTCTATGAGGTTCTAAAGATCTCGGTTGAAAACAAAAAAATGGTACCAGATTTCAAAAGTTTTGATGAAACTAAAAAATGGGAAAACAATTCCTCAAATAATTTCATAATAAAGAGTTCAAAGCTGCAATATGTGTGCACTCATCCTATTAAATTTAAGGATCTGGGTTGAAACTGTAGGAGGAATTGATTACACAACATCGGTACCATGTTTTGCAAATTTTGCAATAATTCCATAACAGCAGAAACACAATTTCGATATGTGTGCACAGGCTGATAGCCAGTTGAAATTAAACATTGAAATGGAACTCTTTATTAGAGAAGGTAAAAAAGGCGAAGTTGGTATATTTGAATTGTTTACATCTGTTTCTATGGGCTTTAAAAGTTTAATGTAGGTGCATAATTTAGGATTTTATGCATCTTATATACGTATTTTTACTTATATTATAGTATGGAACTTCGAGATATTTGTTCACTTTTAAATTAAAGACAAAACAGTCGATTGTGATAGATGCAAATACATGTATATCTTTTTTGTATATAAGCATAAATTCCGCCGAAAAATATTCCACATAAAGATAAATGATTGATCTCTTTAAAGCATTAATTTGCATCTCTGCCCGCGACGGATTTTGGGGGAAAAATCTTAAATATGGGCAATAATTTCATTAAAAAAAAAGAGAAAGTCGAGTACACCTTTTTATGTTCAGGCGTGTTTGAATTGACTACTTTGTCTTGAAAACGTATAAAACAAAAATATTTGATACATTTTCTCGCTTCAGATTCCATTATTTATATATATATATAGGCTACAGTTAGATATGATAAAATTAAAACCTCACAGTACTAAAAAAATAAATATATGGGTCAAGTGAAATACCTTTATAATGAGTCATAACAACATAGTAGGTGTGTTCGAATAACAAATTTTAACTAAAAGTACTTGACGACAGACTTTACAAGCGGATCTTAAAAATGCATAACTTTTTAAAAAAAAATCATTTTTTGTGTGTATTATCTAGGGTAAATTAATCTTCAACCTCTGAAAATATTTAGTCTGCCCTTCCACGAAATATTTAATTATAATTTGTTTAAGTTTTTTTTAACTTTCGAAAAATTCCCCCTGACAACCGATCAAACAACAGTTTTAAGTTGACTAAAGGCCTAAAAGTACATTTAATGATGCTTAATAGCTAGTAGATTCATTTGTCTTTTAAAATGCAACAGTCATATAAGGACCATAATGATGCTATGTGCATAATTTTATCGGTTTTCAAGAGCAAAATTGACAGTGCGTCATCCCTATACTGGCTTCCATTTTTACGATTGAAAAAAATCGTTGGCTAAATGGGGAGTTTATTTTGACGAAGAAGAATGTTGGACTGTGCAATCCACCTGTGAAGTTGTAAGGATGTGGGTTTTAAATTATCGAAGGAATTGATTACACAAATTAGGTACTGTCTTTTCTAAATTTTGCTGAAAAATGTCTGGAATAAAAGGCGGGAGAGGGAAGTCTACTGAAAATTCCATAATAGCAGGTCACACCTCAATATTCAGGCTACAGTACAGTAGTTTACCAATGTTCAAATCTCGTAAATCGACTAGGGAAAGACAAATCAATGCAACTATCAAAAACCAAAGGAATCACATGACTCCCAAAAGTAGCGAGACCGGGTTCGTCGAAAGGTTGCATGGCCGCAAAACTTATGTTGTATCGATTTCAGTCGTTGTTCCCCATAACTGTTGGAGCAGTTTATTTAGTAAGGAGAACACCCCTGTTAATGAAGTCCTTATTGCGTGAATATGCACGAACGTAACGTATAAACTGAGATTCAAAACGCCATATTATGGAGAAGAGGGTATGTTACTGCTAGGAAATGGGAAGCTGACAATTGGAAAGTTGAAATTATCATGTTTGTCATATATTCTAGTTTGAAGTCGTCCAACTGTGTCGATAGCACTCGTTGAAATGTTGGTTATTGAGTGACAGAACATCAACTGGAACTGAAATTAAAGAACTTTGCAAGATGTTTTTATTGTCTTTGAGATGATAAGTGTACAATCTTTCTGTGAAGTTCAGGGTTCTATAAGGAAAACTAAGAGGGATTGATTTTAGAACAAGAGGCTCTCAAGAGCCTGAATCGCTCACCTGTAATTTTTTGCTTAAATCTTTCATCAATGATTATTTTTGCTTTTCAATACATATTTATGAATGGCTTAAAACTTCCATTGAAATGTTCTTTGTATCTGTCATATTTTCTTCAAAATCAAAGAAATGCATTTTACCCCTATGTTTCATTTTAGCCATAGTGGTTATTAGTACTGCAACTGACCTCGAAAAAGACGCTTAGTTAACGAGTTTAATGTTCCGGAATAACACACGGCTAAAAAATGTTTTAAATGATAGAATTATATCTATATTTTAATTTCTGTCTGGTCGTAAAAAGTTTCTATGGTCACATTTTTGTATTTTAGCCCTTTAATGGGGCACCACTCAATTTACGGTTTTGGGTAGTCACCTTAAAATCCCAAAACAAAAAGTTTTTGGTAAATTTCCGGCTCTTTTCGTAAATATTTTCGATGCACATATCATCAAGGATCATCGGAATGATAGAGACATAAATATAATACCATCCCCGAGTAAAACTTTCAAACTTAAAGTTAGCAGTTTTATAGATGGAAATTTAACGCATTTTTCTTTGAAAACTAGAAAACATATGATTCAAAAACAGTATTTGACATTTGAGAGGACAAAATATATTATTGCGATACTGCATGCAAATTTTGTTTAGCAAATTCCAATTAATTTTGTCAAAAACTCAAAAATAAAAACATCATTTATACCTTTTTTTATTACGGAAATTTCATATCCGTCAATCAGCTCCATCATTTATTTTTTTCTTCACAATGAATTTGATAGTTTCGATGTGATGATGTACATTTTCTTGGATAAGTTAATTAATTTGGAGTTTTTGAAGTGTGATTTGATTATATATAGTAGTTCTTTCGTGTATTTTCTGTAAATAAGTTATATTTTTGTTAAGGTTCATCATAACAAATGGACAAAAATGGCTGTATTTACACCTTAAAAACTACTCTGTGTACAGACTTACCTGTCCAGTTTGGAAAGTTTTAAGGCCTGGCATCCACTAGATATAAAAAAGTTAAATGCATTTTTTGTTTCAGAAAGATATAATCACTTTTGGATTTTGATGGGCATTTTTTTTCCTTTCTGCAGAAGGTGTAAAAATAAACAAACACCTGAATTGTTTTGATACTGTCCACTCAGTTAAACCCTTTAACTCACCTATAGTTGTGTAGATACCTATTGTCTGTCTATTGTCCGTGTCAATCAAGGCCAATCAATACAATACAATACAGTTTTTACCTGAGAGGGAGCATCTCAAAGTTTTATCCCAACTTAGTTCATTTTTACACCTTCTGCAGAAAGGAAAAAAAAATGGCCATCAAAATCCAAAAAAGATTTCATCTTTCTGAAACACAAAATGCATTTAACTTTTATATATCTAGTGGATGCCAGGCCTTAAAACTTTCCAAACTGGACAGGTAAGTCTGTACACAGAGTAGTTTTTGAGGTGTAAATACAGCCATTTTTGTCCATTTGTTATGATGAACCTTAATAGAATTTTGACTTTTTATAAAAGTTAACCAAATCCTTCGGATAAGATGCTTTTCCGGATAATGACTAGTTGTGGAAGTCCTAAAAAGTTTACTCATACAAGTCCCAAAAGGAGAAGGCTTGATAGTGTGTGGAAAAAATGCATTGTCAAAGTTCAACCTCAGAGCAACTAATATGCATGCAAGCGGTCTAGAACAAAAGTACTATTGAAGTTTCGCAGAGATTTGGTGTGTGACAAGGTGATGTTACAACTAACTTCTCTTGATCGTCTGCTTTCTTTGGACGAAAGAGTTGTGAATCATTAGTGATGTTATAAGACTTACACCAGAAGGCAAAATTGTAGCGTCTTCAAATTATAACAACAGAAAGCCAAATATGTGATCAATCTGATCCACATGTATCCTCACAACCTGACACTTTTATACGATCTCGCGCTCAGTTTCCTCCTTGTAGTTTGGATATGAAAACATGTTTTTTTTGTGTAAAAGCTAAACTTTTAAAAAGTACAGAAAACAACACAAAATTGAGTCGCCTGAACGTTTTGACAGTCTTTTGAGGTGTGCTTATGTGAGTAATCATATATCCATGGTAAAGATAATCGCGAGTACAGATTTATTTTCGAATGCAGTCTACCTTTCAGCATGCATTACCAAGTACTTATTGAAGTTAACACCTGTGCAATCAGGTATAACAGTTACTGAAGAATTAGAATATGAACTTGCTTTCAATTCATTGATAACGATTGTTAATGATGATATTATGTTCATCCAGAAAAAGGCCTTTCTCCTGTTGCACATCCTCGACATATACCGATTACTTTTACCCAAGAATGTCTCTGATGCTTACCCAACTGCCAAACTCCAGAACAAACTACTAAGTAACTAGTTATTATGACACCTTACAATTCAGACACAGCGGGGACAAGGAATTTCAAATATATAGTTTAGCTCTGAGCTCACTATAGGGGATGCCATATCTGCTGCAGAAAAAAATGAAGTTTATCTTAAGACTTCAAGAATTACACCAAGATGTGTCTGTAGATATCAAAGATACATTAAAAGAGGAACAATTACTTCACTCTGCCGCTAGCTCTCTAAGGAGCTCTGTCCTAGTCGGGTCCTTCCATGGAAAAGATGCCCGCATGTATGGATATTACAAAATCAATCGTTTTTGTAGCAAAATCAACATTCGCCTCATTACATTTGGGATTGACCGTGCAGTTATATAATGAATATGGGAATATTGGTCACAAACATTGATATAAACTTTGTCCTTTTGTGTTTCCTATGCAGAGGTAAGACTATACCTGACAAGCATTGCCATGCATGAGTTTGACCGAATCAAGACGGTATTTACGCTCTAAATGGCATTGTTTCAAAACACCAAGGGGAGTGTTTGATACCAATGGATGCTGACAATATAGGCCTCAACACGGAGTCAATTGATAGTAAGGAACGTTTCATTCCATGGCACGAGCAAACTTTCAGGTTTGTCATTCCACAATTGATTCCAGTTTGCGTCAGAAAGTGAAGAGAGATCAAGATAACACTTTTCAACTGACTGACAGTGCATCATCGTTGGCGACTGTTTCATTATACCAAAGGTAAGAGAGGTCCTGTTCGCGTTCCGAATGCTTTCAAAAACATTTCAAATTGTGCTGAAAAAATTGAAAACACATCAGAGATTCCTTTGGAAATTTTGTGGTCCATGTCAAAATATATCGGAAATTTTCATGTTTAGTCGGAAACGTTTGACCAGCAATTTATTCCATTTTAGACCGGATATAGCAACTCTTTCTGACTTCAGGGTTAGATTTTTGGCCTTGAAGACAAAACAGGATAAACCCCAACATTTTTCAAGGGACACATGACATCAGATTACTTACAAGATTATCTTTGTACTTGCAAAGGTAAATCTTTGTGCTCAAAAGCTGTGTTTGCTTTGAACAAACTCTGTCTTGCACCGAACTTGTTTGTGTCAAGAAAGGGAAGTATGTTATAATGCTAATACGCGTACTGAATCCGCATACGATGACGAAGATATTCATTAAATAGGGATTCATATCCCTATTTAATGAAGACTAGAGCTTTTGCATGTAGCTTTAAAAAGACAAGTTATATAAGGGTCTTGACAGATTTTAAATTACAACATTAGCAAATTGGCATTACATTGTATTTTCCATTACTTCCATAAAAAATTGATGAGTCTACACTTTTTTACCAGGATAATCCCACTAAGATGTTCATGCACCAAACCGAGTTTGTTTAACCAACCGCTAAATTAATGCAAGTCACACTTATGATTTTTTTAAAACCTCGCATTCGCCTCGGTTGACTATGATATTTTTGGTGTTATAACTGATATGTCCGGACTTTGCAAATACACAATAATTATTTATGTATAAATAGATACTAATTTTCCCAAATTTACACAACCTTTTAGATGCAAAATTAAAAACACTGTTTCATCGCTTGAATTTTGTTTTTTTCAAAGATAGAAAAAATATTGAAATAATTGTATAAACTGTTGTTTTATAGTTCAGAAAATAATTCTGTAATATACTGTAGTGAAAAATTATAAGCAGTATGAAAGTTAATGGATGTGAAAAGGTCAAGGCCACTTCTACTTTTGCTATGTCAGAAATGGAAAAAAATCAGAAGGATCCAGATCAACGCCATTTTGTAATGGCAGCTCTTCAAATAAATAGTCAAATTTGTCGTTTTAACATACTTCGCAGCATATGCTGATGATTGAACCGTTTTTGTAGCATTCTAATGAATAAATATAAGAAAATTTCTCATTTTTGTCCTTGTGGTTGAAATATTGATATTTTTAGGCCTGACCTTTGACCCAAATTTCACAAAAATGTGACCACTCTGGATTTTTACGACCAAACTTTTCTTATTGTACTCTTTTTCCTCTTTCCATCGATATATAATTTAGGTGTGTGTTCTTCCGGAACATTAAAGTTTTAAAAAATGAACTCTGGTTGCAGTACTATATGTTTCTTGACGTACAAGAAAATAAAATACAAAATTTATACAAGATACTCTGAAACTCATTCAGCCCAAGTTTGGCTGAAATTGATTCAGCAGTTTCAAAGGAGAAGATTTTTTAAAGTAAGCAAACTAAATGAACAAATTGTGAAAAAATGATTTTAAAGGGCAATAACTCCTTAAGGGGTCAATTGACAGTTTTGATCATATGAACTTATTTGTAGATCTTACCTTGCTAAACATTTTTGCTGTTCACAGTTTATCTTTGTCATTAATAATATTCAAGATAATAACCAAAAACTGCAAAATTTCCTTAAAATTACCAATTTAGGGGCAGCAACCCAACAATGGGTTATCAGATTCAACTGAAAATTTCAGGGCTGATAGAATTTTACCTAATGAACACTTTAACCCCCATGTTAGATTTGTTCTAAATGCTTTGGTTTTTAAGATATAAGCCAAAAACTGCATTTTACCCCTATGTTCTATTTTTAGCCATGGCGGCCATGTTATTTGACGAAACAGTAAATAAAACACAAACTTTATTCTTGATACCCTAAGCATCATTCAACTAAAGTTTGGTTGGAATTGGTTCAGTAGTTTCAGAGGAGAAGATGTTTGAAATAGTTTACACCAGACGGACGACGACAGACGACGACGGACGACGACAGACGACGACGGACGCCAAGTGATGGCAAAAGCTGACTGTTCCTTCGGAACGGTGAGCTAAAAACTGGGACCATCTTTTCCCTGCCCTTCCATTTATTCATCCGAAAAATAACCATTCTATTCGTCGATTTTCAAAATCATCCAACCTTTCTAAAGATTCCACTTAAAATGACCATCTTCATAAAATTAATAGTACCAATTATACTGGAACAGATTAACTAATGTATTTTCATGTAGTGATGCGTTAGGCTAAAATATTTGAAAATCCAAAACCAATAAAAACGACGAAAAGCGTGATACTTTTAGGGCTGATAGACTTTTTCAAAGAGCAATTCTAGTGGAATCCACAATTGACCATAGGTTCGTTTAGAACAGAATGTCTAACCGAAATAAGAAGTTTATACTAAATGACCTTTCTACTTTTAACTACTAATTGGTCGATGCCATTACTGATTGACGTCCCAGAGTGTATCACGAGTCCAGTACTCAGCACTCCTGTGAAATATTAAAAATACGGTCATTTTATGTTTATAAATTTTTTATTTGTCAAAACATTAGATTTTTCTACCCACAACTACCAGATAGATGGCCATAGTCGTATTTGGAACAATTTTTCGGAATTTTCTGTTTTCAATGATCTTCAACTTCATATTTGATTTAGACTTCAACGAAACTCGCGTCTGGCGTAACAAATTTAAAACCTGGGATCTTTGGTGTATATCTTGCTTAAAAAAAATGCCTCTTTAAATTCAGTATAGATATTTGAGAACAAAAACACTTGAGGTGCACGCGTGTTATGTGTTTACTTGAACAATTGCAATTTATTTTCATTATATCTATGTTTAATCATGAATGATCATATTAATGTGGTATATTGTCTATAGTATTTCATTAATGGGACAACTATCACGGACTTTCCTAGATTTATGCACCGTGGAATGCTGATAGATACATCTAGACATTTTTTATCTGTTGACGTAATCAAGAAACATGTAGTAAGTAAAATACAGTATACTATTTGTTGGAACATTTTTCAAAGAAATTTAAAAGCAGTATTATAATAGACATCATTTTGAGAATTATTAGAGATTGAATAAATTAGAGTAAGATACATTTTGCAAGCTATCATTATGATATGGGAATTTTTGTTTGTGTTATATAAATTACAAAGTATGATTTAGGATTCAGTTACTGAAAGGGGGTCTATAGAAATACTTTGCCTAAAAAGGGGGAAAAAATCCAAAATACATTTTTCAAATCAAATTATCGTCCATAAGGACCACTCATCTCGCTGAATCTGTCCCTTCTATTTTGTGTACCATAAAGGGTTAGAACTTACATTTATTTACTTATATTAAACAGGAAGCTATGGCTCAGAACAAGTTTAATGTGTCTCATTGGCACATTGTGGACGACCCAAGTGCACCATTTCCTGAAATGAGTCAAAAGGTAGTTAAAAAAAGAAAATTTTATGAGAGATGGCAATCTCGTTCGGAAATAGTCCATGCAAAAAGTTAATAATGGAAACCAGAATGCAGACCGACACAGAGAAAGTTAACATATAATATCTAAAAGAGCTAAACAAACAAAATAAACCAAAAAATATTTTATTTTTTAAATATGGTGTCCACGCCATGCATATTTGCCTACAAATAGCATTAAACTGAAGTAGATACTTACTATTCATAACATTTGTTGTAAATGCATTGCTGATCATTTTCAAACCATATTACAGAGCAACTGTATGGCTTATCGACACACTCGAGGTTTATGCAATCGACATATGATTAGATGTATATTTATATATTCTGATGATGTTAAATCTATATTTAAGGGATCTTATCCAGGACCTGGCCATGTATACACAGCTTCAAATGTTTTGGACATCATTGGTTATGCAAGAATGAGGGGAATTCGTGTCATACCAGAGTTTGATACGCCAGGTAAGTAGAACATAATTACATGTATATTTTGTGTGATTAAAGGCAGCTTGCAAAGTTCTTTAATTTCATTTTCAAATGTATAACATGTTTAACAAAATAAGGATACAACCGAAATTAGAAGGTTTGCTTCATTTCTTGATCTTTTCCTTGCTTTTGGCACAGATGGACGACTTCAAACTAGAATGTATGACAAACGTCATGTTTTCAATTTTACAAATGCAATTAGTCAAGTGATGTCTTCATTTTCTATTGTCAATTAATTTACTTCCCATTTCGCAACAGTAAAATCCCCCCTGTCCTATTGTATGGTGTTTACATATCTCTATTAAAATGTTACACTTGTGTACTTCACTATATACGGACTTCATTAACATAGTTGTGCTCCGTACAATAAAATTGCTGCAACAGAGTTATGAGAGTAATGAATGGAATTAGCACTTTATAAATTTTACGGTCACTATCACAAACTGATTGACTGATACGATGTATCTGTCTAAACTCACAAGGGGCATGTTTTCGCGGTCTCAACTATTACTAGAATGGTTTTCTGATCTGTAAATTACATATTGTGTCCTATTCTCGATCTCCGCATTTTTACTGGTTGTGGATTCGCTTGGTGGGTGCAAAGAAGGATACGCTTACCATGTCGACTCATCCAGTCCCGCTCCTTTTGAAGTTCATGCGATTCCCTCAGTTTTCTGTTTTTACCTTTATTTGTATCTTGCTAATAGATTTATGAGATCTCAACTTTGAATACACACGAAATTTATTATTTTCATTAGCTACTGTTGCCTTTGATTTATGTGCTTAGATAATAGAAAGGCTTGCAATAAAAATGTAAGTGTATATTTGAAAGTTATGTTTCATCGGATTGATAATCCATTATTTGACATCCAACTTTATTTTGTTGTTAAGTTGTGGTCATGCTTCATGATGCCTTTCAGTTTTGTTTGATTCTCTATTTCCCTAGTTTTTATGTATACTGTTATATCATTAATATTTTCATGATAAAAATTTCAAAAATAACCACTCTGATCATAAAACATAACCTTTAATATTTTTGTTTTTATCATTGTGCAGGACATACTCAATCATGGGGAAAAGGTATTCCCGATTTATTGACGAAATGTTACAGAAAGGGTGAATTTGATGGTAACTATGGACCGATAGACCCGTCTAAGAACAGCACTTATACTTTCCTGGAAACATTTTTTCGTGACATAGCAAACACTTTCCCAGATCAATATATTCATCTTGGTGGTGATGAAGTTTCATTTGGATGTTGGTAAGAAAATTTAAAGCAAAATGTGTTAAGTATATTGCAATTGGTATGATTTTGTAGACGAAACGCGCGTCTGGCGCAAATACAAAATTTCAATCCTTGTATCTATGATGAGTTTATTTACAACCACTGGGTCGATGCCACTGCTCGTGGAGTTTTTATTCTTCTAGGGTATCACCAGCCAAGTAGTCAGCACTTCTGTGTTGACATGAATTATCATTGATATGGTCATAATTATAAATTAACTGTTTTTTTAAACTTTGAATTTTTGAAATACTAAGGCTTTTCTACCTCAGGAATAGATTACATTAGCTGTATTTGGCAAAACTTTTAGGAATTTTTGGTCCTCATTGCTCTTCAACTTCGTACTTTATTTGGCTTTTTTAACCTTTTTTTATTCGAGCGTCACTGATGAGTCTTTTGTAGACGAAACGCGCGTCTGGCGCAAATACAAAATTTCAATCCTGGTATCTATGATGCGTTTATTTACAACTACTGGGTCGATGCCACTGCTGTGGAGTTTTATTCCCCGAGGTTATCACCAGCCCAGTAGTCAACACTTCTGTGTTGACATGAATTATCATTCATATGGTCATAATTATAAATTAACTGTTTTTAAAACTTTGAATTTTTGAAATACTAAGGCTTTTCTACCTCAGGAATAGATTACATTAGCTGTATTTGGCAAAACTTATAGGAATTTTTGGTCCTCAATGCTCTTTAACTTCGTACTTTATTTGGCTTTTTTTAACCTTTTTTGATTCGAGCGTCACTGATAAGTCTTTTGTAGACGAAACGCGCGTCTGGCGCAAATACAAAATTTCAATCCTGGTATCTATGATGAGTTTATTTGCAATTGGTATGAACAAATTGTTGTTTCAATTCTTATGTAGAATTGGTAAACTGAAGAATTAAGGCAACAGTAGTTTCTAAATGTTCAAATCTCATTAATCGATTAAGAAGACAAATCAATGTAACAAACAAAAACGGAGCATGAACTCCAAAAGGATCGAAACCGGGTGTGTTGACAGAGTAAGCCTTTCCTACTGTGCATGCATCGCTCAACATACAGTTCACACCCAGTCACAATCGGGAATAGGACACAACCAGTATAAATACAGACATATCGTATCGGTCAACCTGTTCGTGATGGTGACTGTAAAACTTATAAAGTGTCGATTTCAGTAGTTCTTCCTCATAACTCTATTGGTTCATTTTTGTGTAATGACCATACCGCTGCCAATGAAATCTGTAAAGTATGGACATGCAAGAATTAACATATCAATTAAGATATGTAAACGCCATGCGATGGGTTACAGATTTGTCTTAGAATATTGATACTTGTCTGAAGTTGTCTATTTGTGTCAATATCGAGGAAAAGATAAACATATAAAGCAGAATTCTTACTGGTTTCGGTAGTATCCGCTGGGATATATGAGATGCAAGCACTCACTGAAATGTGTGTTTATGAGTGACAGGACACCATCAATGAAAGTGATATTAAAGAACTTTGCAAGATGTGTTTTCCTTTTTTGAGAAGGTTTCGTATGAATTCTGCTTTATATGAGTTCAAATACAAGTCGGTCAGTACGGTTGCACAATAAGTACTCATTGGAATACAGACTGTTAATCCACAAAACTCAACAAATATTTTGTCGATTAAAATGTCAGACATGAATTTTATTTAAAAAAAACAGCTGTAAAACAATTATAAAACCAGATAAAATAAAGCTCAGAAATAGGAAAATTGCTTAAAAAGCATGGTATGATTAGAACTAAAATATCTATGATCCTTTGTACGTGAAATAAAAAATATCACAAAACAATAACGATTCAGTCGTGAGAAGAAAATCGTGTGCCCTGCTACCGAGGTGAGGGCTATTGCAAAACGTATTGATTCGTGGACTTGATACTACTTTATAATTTTAGACTTCAGTGTTCCCATTGCAAATCAGTAAACATTTCTTTTGATATGAAAGCTACATTTCGGATAGAGTGCATCACACAAAAATTCAGGAAATGTGTATCGGAAAAAATACAGTAAGCACTGATCTGTTTCTTTTTTTCATTTTTAGGAAGAGCAACCCAGATATAACAACATTCATGTCAAAAATGAGTTTTGGAACAAGTTATTCAAAACTGGAACAATATTACATGCAGAAGTAAGAAACTTGATAGAGCGTTCAATTACCAGCATCAATTCAAAGGTGTCTGAAATATAATAACTAATAGAGGAAAGTGTTATTTGAATATTTACAGATATTTAAATTTTCATTCAACATATAAAAAGCCCTCAGAAAAATTCATCCAATGTCTGGACAACATTAAAATATCTTCATGGACTGAATGATAGTATTACGTCAATACTTTGACAGCTAATTATATATTCTGCTCTTTGGTCGGGTTGTTGTCTCTTTGACGCATTCCCCGTTTCCATTCTCAATTTTTTTGAAAAAGAACAAGTTCGGGCATTGGTGCTGTTAAAATAGACACATTGCAGTGGGTCAGTTTCCATTTACCTTTAACCTTTCAGAAACACTTTTCCTTTTTACCCATGTAAGTGGAAAGTTCTTCATTGGTAGTTATGTTCTGTGCTGCCTATGGTAAATAATAGAAATCATTTTAACAATTGCAGCATTCTTACCCTTTAGATACGATTTACACTGTTAGGAATTTTTTTATATTCTGACATAACACATTTCATGTACACAATGATGAGAAAATAAGTTGAAAAAATGACCCAGTTTTTTTCAATGAAAGCTACATATATAATAAAGTGAATAATTTGAGGCAGGCATCATCTTTGAAAACAAAAAACACAAAAAACTAAACAAACAAAAGGAATCTGATGTACAGTAGTTGTCGTCTGTTTATGTATTTCATACGTGTTTCTCGTTTCTCGTTTTTATATAGATTAGACCGTTGGTTTTCCCGTTTGAATGGTTTTACACTAGTAATTTTTGGGGCCCTTTATAGCTTGCTGTTCGGTGTGAGCCAATGCTCCGTGTTGAAGGCAATACCTTGACCTATAATGGTTTATTTTTATAAATTGTTACTTGGATGGAGAGTTGTCTCATTGGCACTCATACCACATCTTCTTATATCTATAAAAAAAACACAAAAATAACCGAAAAGTATGCAAAAATGTCCATCATTTATTGGCTCGTTATTATCGGTCATGCAGGGTATTTTGATATTTTCCAATCATGAATGCAGGAACTAGTGAATCCACTAAATGGCCTGTTATATATGGAGTAAAAATTAAGTCTTCTTCTTTGAACTAAAAGATTACTTTGTCTACAATGTTTTCTATATTACATACTTTTGGAAGCTATAGCAGAAAATTGTAATTAAGTGTACCGATAATATACAACACGTATACGATAAAAGTCTTGTATGAACAATGCATTGAAACATAGCAAATATGATTCATAGAAACAAATTTAATTGTATATCAAACACAATCAACAATATTTATAAACAAAATGTGTTTCCTTTGAAAAAAATCAGTATTTAAACATTTATATATGGCAGATTATGAACGTCCATTAGTAAATTCGTAGCAGTTATAAATTCATATAAGTACCCGTAACAAAGTAGACTTTTTTATTAGAGTATAGGGTTGGTTTAGGTCTTTAGACGGCTATGATAAGGAGTAGTATATGTCAAGGTTAATGTAAGAGTAAGAATGGTACAAGAAGAGCTCTGATGGTCATGATTAATTACAGTGAAAGGAGGCTCTAGATTCTTTTTTTAATCATAGAATTTAGACTAAAGAACAACCCTGTTTTCAAAAGACGTATTGTGATGTATCTGTATGTATTTTAAAATGCATGTATCTTCAACATAACAGACATTTTTTTTTACTTTTTATAATTGTTATTTTTTAAATAAACTATAGCATGTTTAATCCCGCCAATTTCTGTGTGTTCCTGTCCCATATCAGGAGCCTGTAATTCAGTGGTTGTCGTTTCTTGTTGTATATCATATTTGTTTTACGTTTGTTGTTTTGAACATACATCAGGTCTTTAGTTTTCTCATTTGAATTGTTTTATGTTTTATCATAAAGTTTTCTCGTTTGAATTGTTTTATGTGGTTTGCATGTTGTGTCGACTATTATATTATTTGTTTGTGCGTTTCTCTGTTATGAATATCCTTGCGTGTATTTGTGCTGTATTTCTGTCACGTAGTGTTTTGGCGATAGTTTTTAACATTGTCATAAAGCGGGAGGTTTGACATGCCATGAAACCAGGTCCAACCCACCATTTTTTCTTAAAATGTCATGTACCAAGTCAGGAATATGGCAGTTGTTATCAAATAGTTCGTTTCTATGTGTGCTGGCGTTTGTTTTTGTTGCACTTCGGTGTTCCTGTTGTTCCTTTGTTTTCCTCTTATAGTTGATGTGTTTCCCTCGGTTTTGGTTTGTAACCCGGATTTGTTTTCTCTCAATCGATTTATGACTTTTGAACACCGGTATACTACTGTTGTCTTTATTTACCATTGTCATTTCTTTGCCTTTTATAGCTTGCTATGCGGTATTAAGTTTGCTCATTGTTGTAGGCCATACGATGACCTTTAGTTGCTAACATCTAGGTAATTTGGTCTGTGGTTGAGAGTTGTCTCATTGGCAATCATACCACATCTTTTAATTTTTATATGGTTAATAAAAACTTAAAAAGTATATTTATGTTGATATGTCCTGACTTTTCTTATTTCTTATTTTTTTCAGTTTGTTAAATATAATTGGTAAAAAGTTAAACAAAGGATACCTTATTTGGCAAGAAGTTATAGACAATGGAGCTATGGTAAAATATGTTTTTGTATTTGTATAGCATTGTCACACTTAATCATAATGGAGTCTGAAAAATAAACAGGATATGGACTGATCTCTGAGAGATCACCTCCCAAAAATAAAGGAAGGAAAAAAAGGAAAAGTATAACTTCCAAGTACAGTTTTTACAGAACTTCAATATTGATTGCATTCGTCTTTAAAATCATGATAATGAAAGAAATGAAGAATTCTATGAATATTGCTGTAATCAAAGAAATGAAAATAACTACCGAAAATCACCTGTATGATGCGCTTTTATAATGTAGGTACAACCAGATACAGTAGTTGAAGTTTGGAAGCGTGGATATGTAGAAGAACTTGCCAAAATAACTAAGTTAGGATATAAAACATTACTATCATCTTGTTGGTACCTGAACTACATATCATATGGGGATGACTGGAGAAAATAGTATGCTTGTGATCCACAACATTTCAACGGTAAATTAGAAATTTATTTATGCTACAATTTTAATATCTGGCAACTAAAACATTTCCAAAAGTACTAAATATATTGTTAATAAAAGGCAGTAGTTTACTGATGTTCAAATCTCATAAATCCATTAAAAAGATACAAATCAAGGTGTAAAGAAAACCTGAAGGAAACGCATGATATTCAAAAGTAGCGAGAAAATGTCACAGTCGGGAATAGGAATCGATTTGTAATTAATAAAAATACTGTGAAAAAAATTTCATTTATAAAAAGGATATCAAAGGGACATTCAAACTCATAAGTCAAAAATAAACTTGACAACGCCGTGGCTAAAAAAGAAAAAGACAAACAGACAAACAACAGTACACCAAACACAACATAGAAAACCAAAGACTGGGCAACAATTTAGTAACTAATGTAGTTTTATATTATCTCTTACCTTTTTCATTTATAAAAATGTCTGTTTTAGTAGGGAAACCTATACACTATTCTCAATACCTATTACTGCAGTATATTTATTTTCTGTGATTAAACTTGGACTTTTGTTACATTTACGTTTGTTTCTCTGCATCAGATACGAAGAGGCTTGTTAGAGCTATCAAGCTCACAATCCTAGAGCATCGTCCATTGGTACCTGTTGCAGCTAAACAATCAATTATATTTATACATTTCCAGCAAAAATATTATAAAATCAAGCGAGAAGAACGTTTGCCACATCTCTGGAGTAGCAACTCTTAAATACTTTTTTTTTATTTTAACATATAATATCCTGTATGACTTTATATCAATATTGTAGGTGTATTATATGAATGTCATGTAAAATACTGTATGTTGTAACGATTATATTTGTTATATGTGTATGCCCCCTGGGGACCTTATTTGGAAAATAAAATATCTTATCTTATCTTATCTTATAACTTTAATAAGTCACACATTCTCATTTAATAATGTACTAGAAGATGCCCGCGAAATCGCGGTACAATTGGGCAAGTGTTGAATTAAAGAGCACCCGACATGAAATTTTAAAGTACATTTTTGTGTTATAGTAGTCTCAGATGACATACAGTATCTTATTATTATTACAGTGAAACCTGTCTAAACTGAACAAAATCTTCAGTCCCAAAGGTGTTTGGTTTAGGCAGGTTTCACTATATATAATATTTATTATACTGTAGTTAGCTTGTATGCTTGAGCATCCACATGTTTCCAGTAGAAAGTAACCAAGATTTACCACCCCACTTTTTTCTTGTAATGGAAAGTATCCACATTATTTTAACCCTAGCTATGCCACTGATACTCCAGACTGTCGGATCAGAGGTAAAATGTCTAAAACATTCAGTCCGCAAGTTTATATAGGGGAGGCAATTTAGGTAACAACATTTCAGCCTGCGATCGTCTGCTCAGAGGCATATTTCAGCACATAGCACACAAATTTATATGAGGAAAGTAATTTTAGGTCATGACATTTCAGCCATCGAGTGTCTGATGTAAGAAATGCGTGTATTTCAGTCCGCAATTTATATAGGAGGGGGTAATTTATGGTCACAATATTTCTCCCCGTGTTTGAGGAGGGTGCACTAATTTTCTATGGTTTCAGTGTGAGTGCTTCAGTCCCAAATTTGTGTGGGAAACGTAATACGACAACTTCAGTCCTAATTTTATGTGGGGTACGTATTAATAGGTATAGACATTTCAGCCTGTGTTTGAGGAGGGTGCACCACTAATTTACAACAGATTCAGTCTTAGATTTATGAGGGGTAAGGACATTTCAGCTTGCATTTTGATGACAAATATTTTGAATTTATGACATGTATAATTTGATTGTGGTGTATGCCATGGGCATTATGCATGCGACATATTGTAAGCGTTGGCCAAGGCTGCCATGCCATGGGCATTGTGCATGTGACAAATTGTAAGCGTTTGCCAAGGCTGCCATGATCGAGATCACTTCGACACGTTCAACACCCATTCCTTTTTTGGACAGTTCTTTAAATATGCATTGAGTGAAAAGGGGTGGAGTGCATGCAGATGTGACAAAATTTGTAAGCGTTGGCTCAGGCCACAGGCACCCGACGTCCGGACCCTCCCCCATATTTATGTGTAAACCGGCCCCTTGGCCTAAAAAAATTTCTGTGTTTCCGGTAACATCATTTTGAAAAATATGGTCGGTAGGTCGGAATTTTTTTTTTCTATTTTTATTTTTTTGTGACATCGTAAACGAAATCCAGAAAATTATAATGGTTTTTCCCAGTCTGAGTCCGTAATTAGTTTCAAATACCGGAAGTGCGTATAAGACACGGATCGATAACGGTCTCCGAATTTGGATATTTTCTCAAAAATTGGCGTTTTCGGTGGAAAAAAGATTGTTTCAAAGTCATATTTAGGAAGTACAAAACACTACATTTATACGTCATATCACAAATATTTCTGACTTTGTATGGTTTCAGAGAACATGCGGCTCAAATCGGTGTCTTCCTTTAGTTGTATAGATTGTAAACTTTACATTCTTTTTACGTTGTACATACAGGTACTGATGAACAGAAGAAATTAGTTATTGGTGGAGAAACCTGCATGTGGGTGAATTTGTTGATAACACCAATTTGATTGCTCGATTTTGGTAAGAAAAGGGCTAGCACTTATTTGCAGTATAGCTTAAACGTATGGACGTTGCGCACGATGTTGGTACTACTTAGCGTTACACGACGTTCCTCATAATGAAGCGATTTCGACGATTGCAAAGAACGTTTCAAGCGTTCAAGCTTATAATTGATGAGGTCAATTTACTGTTATGAATTTGGTAACCGATTTCGGTTTGTCTGAAAATGCATAGTTTAACAAATAAAACTCAAAGTGGTCGTACACATATTTTTTTAATGAATATTTATTAATAGTTGTCAGTCTTTCCAGGCCAAAATTGATAATTTTACTTTTGGCAGCAGTTCGCATTAATGAATCATACATTAATTTCCAAATTTATACAGATTTCTTTTTAATATAAATTAGATTTTGAATTTATTTTTCCTTTTTATTGCATGTTTATACATACTCCTTTTGTTGCATTTCTGTCCGTTTCTGTTTCCTTTCTATATTTTATCATTTCCCAATGCTTTCTTTGTCGCAAAATTTCAAGGTAGTTAAACATTTTGGATTCATGTTTTTCTCATTTCCGTATTTTTGTGGCATTATGCATATCCTTTGTTTTGTTATAATTGCCAGCTATGGTTTTTCTCTATTTTATTTTATTGACAAAAAAATTATGCATGTTACTTTTGATGATTTGAAACTTGCAGATAGACGTTCCTTGAATAAACAAATGTCATGAATGTGCTAAAATCCCGATATTTTTTATATCAGTCTCATTTGGTCAACATTAGAATTTAAACTTAAACTTTTCCTTTATCATAAATTAGTTATATTATAACTTATATTTTTATTTTCATTCGAATTAAAAAATAAAACTGGAAACAAATAATTATGATATAAAATTAAAAACCCGAGCATGACATCAATTACGTTTTGCGAACGTTGGGACAAAACGGCTATACTTTTTGAAACGATCTAAAAATCTTGTTGCCTATCGAAAAAATGTTAAACACTATATTGTTTAAAAAGAAAAAGAAAAAAACTTTTACCGCCAAGTTTTATTTTCCTATGATCTAACTATGCCTATTTAATATACAGCCGGTTAAAACCTCAATTGTAAAGAAAATACAGCGGTTTTTTTTGTTGGGACAAGATGGCTATACTTTTTGAAGTCATTGCAATAAAAACTATACGCATGGTTTCCGGCAAAAAAATATCATGAACCAGGAGAAAAGTAAAAAAAACTTTCAAAATATCATAAATATTTTTCCTCTCAGCTTTTCCAATTTCACGGTATAAATGCGCAAACCCGATATATGCTTACCTTGCATATGCTTGGACATTTTTCAGACCGTTTTCAAAAATAACATTTTCCGGTTTACGGTTTCAGTGATATTGAGTTTGCTTTAACACGCGAATAACAATAACAATAGCAATACTCTTGTGAAGTTTTACGATGATCAGAAAAAAAATACCGTTGGACATTACGTTTTTGCGTAAAAAAGGGATAATTAAGTGTTATAATTCTTGATATTTTAAATTTCGGGTCCTTTTTTTCTTTATTTTCAAGTCTAATGTAATAAATTCAACCAGAAATCACAATATTTTTATCGAACTGACCAGTCTACGTATTTATTTTCATGCTAATCTATAGTAAAATGGAATTCGTACCAACATCGTGCGCAACGTCATGGGAAGTACTAAGTAGAAGTCCTCACCGTTGCTGATTATCAAGGTTGGCAAAAAAGCGGTCAATACTAGTATTGACCAGGCCGGCGGTAAATACTGGCAAATACTGGTCAATACTGGCAAATACTGGTCAATAGAAATTTTGATAAGATATTACTATTAAATACCGTCCCTACTTGTTCAATTACTGGGTAAATGGACAGATATATTCACAGGGATAGAAAGTCACTTATTTACAACATTGTAAAGGACAAAAAGACACAATTACTTAGTTAACAAGTGTTTGAATATGTAAGGGAAAATCCATGATATAAATTCATTGTAATGTTTATGAGATAGATAATCATGATAATGAACATGGTTAAATGAAGATTTATTAAATATTAATCGTACAAAGGATATTTCTTGGCACTATGACTATGACAACTTGTTTACTTAATTGTAATTTTTATCAATTGTAATAAAACAATGTCTTAAAAATTATTCTTTTCTTAATGAAAGAAAACAGTTCTCTTAAAATTGAATTGTGACTTTCTGTCCTCTAATATTTTGCCCTATATTCAATAACTGTTAGTCATGAAAATATGAAAGTTTTCAAGTCAAAATTATACTTTTTTAATGTTATCTTTTCTTATACAAATTGAAATTCTACATGAACACATCGTGGACAGTAATCATTAGAATAAAATATTAAGGAAAAAGATAAAAACAGCAGCCATAAGAGTATAGATCCTTCAAACTTTCCATTTTCTGTATTTAGTTTTAGAAGATATTTATCATGCTGTTGAATAGTCAGGAATACAATCATTGTTTTAAACAGTCTTCAAAAATAAATTTTATGACTTTTTTCCTGTCATGTCAACATTTATTAGGGGACAGTTGTAATATTGATTAAACTTTTGACACCTGCTTGCCATATAATAGGTAATGGCCTGATAATCTAGTCACCTGTAATTCTATTTACCTGTTAAAATCAAACCTTTTCAAGAAAAAATATATAGATTTTATACATGTTGAAATAACTGATATAGCAATTTAATATCTATACCTAAACTATGTTATATCATTACCACAAAGAACTAAAGTATTCATTATTCATGCTAATAGTTAATAAAACATAGCAATATCATTCTTTTTTATAAACTGAATCATGCCATAGGAAGAAAGTTAAAATAATTTCCCCTATCAACTACGGTTTAACTAGAATTGATAGTAAAATCTGTCGAAAAAACCATGAAAATTTCAATTGACCAGTATTTGCCAGTATTGACCAATTGAGGAGTGTTGACCGGGGCGGTAAATGCCGATAAATACCACTGGTAAATACCGGGGGTTGTATGTACTGCCCAACCTTGCTGATTATGATTGTCTTCATTCAGTTCATGCATGAATAAAAAATTCAGACTTTCTTATGATCCATGGTGGATGACTGTCTCATTTGGCAACTTTATATACCTTTACATTAATACTTAATTGGCTTTCAAATATTTGGCTTTGAGTGTTTCTGGTAAAGGTAAATCCATAAAAGCGCTTCGTCTGGAGTCTGGCGTACAACATTTCAATCCTGGTATTTATGATGAGTTTATTTACAACCACTGGGTCGATGCCACTGTCGGTGGAGTTTTTCTCCATGAGAGTATCACCAGCCCTGTAGTCAGCACTTCTGTGTTGACATGAGTTATCATTGATATGGTCATAATTATAAACATCTTCGCTAGCCAAATGTTACGATCCACTTCCCTCCTCTCCACCCTTGGCGGATAGAGATAGAATTTCGGAGACACAAGGTAATGATTTTCATTGGTTGCAGTCGAAACTCGCTGCATCCAATCAAAAAACGTCTATAACATGATCACGTGTAAATGTAGAAAGTGTATGTAAACAATTGCCACGTGCTTATTGTGCAAGAAGTCTTTACATCCCTAAACATACGACTATATTTAGTGACAATTTGAATGTTTTTAATCAATTAGTAGAAGTTCCTGTGTATGTTTCTTGCACAAATGCATGAATGTCAACGTATATTTTCGTTTCCTGCTTTACCAAGTGTGTAGAATCTAGACGCTACCGTGTTTTTACCTCCAAATTGAAGAGTTCAAGTGCTACCATTGGTCAAGAAAAATGTATTCGGAATGGGCGTGACTTTAATCCACCGATAGATGGCGCAACATTGTTATCACAAATGTTGGTTTTTCGAATAAAAAAAAGTTAAAAAAGTCAAACAACACAGAAGTGCTGACTACCGGGCTGGTGATACCCTCGTGGAGAAAAAACTCCACCGACAGTGGCATCGACCCAGTGGTTGTAAATAAACTCATCATAAATACCAGGAGGGAGGGAAGTGGATCGTAACCCTTGGCTAGCGAAGATGAATTATAAATTGACTGTTTACAAAACTTTTTCAAAATACTAAGGATTTTCTACCTCAGGGATAGATAACCGTAGCTGTATTTGGCAAAACTTTAAGGAATTTTTGGTCCTCAATGATCTTCAACTTCGTACTTTGTTTGGCTTTTTTAACTTTTTTTTATTCGAGCGTCACTGTTGAGTCATTTTAGACGAAACGCGCGTGGCTGGCGAACAACATTTCAAGCCTGGTATCTATGACGAGTTTATTCAAACACATGGAATTCTAAGTGGTGTTTTCAATTCTTAAATGATAAATTTTATATATGTACTTAATGGGAATGTTTACATGTATCATTTGAATTAAAAAAAAATAATTGTGTGCACATATTATACAGGCCAAGAGCAGCTGCAGTAGGTGAACGTTTGTGGAGTGACATGTCGTTAAGAAGTACAGCTGAGGCAGCACCAAGGCTTGAAGAACATAGATGTAGAATGGTCAGGTCAGTATAATATTTTAAGGGATAAATTAGAAGTTCCTAGAAGAACCCAAAATGTGAACACATGATTTATAATGCCAGTTTACTAGTATCTGGAAATATCTACAATAGTGAATATGCAAGTTCATTATTTAAACATTCTTATACAAGTTATTATTCTGCTGTTCTAATAAAGGTGGTTTAAAAATTGGATTGGTGACTGAGGATACATGCACATGGAGTCGATATCATACTTTTTAAAAATGTATTTAATGTCCCTGGCCACACGAGGTTAATGTACAGCTGATTTGATCGTAATAAATCTTTTCTAGTGAGTTGAAAATTTATAAGTTACCTTAATGTTAAGTATTATTTTTTCAGTCGAGGCTTTGCTGCTGAACCTGTTAATGGACCTGGATTCTGTCCAGAAGAATACACCAAGTTTTAATCGTTACCAATCTCGTTCAATGTAAAAAAAAAATCAAAGATCTGTGATATACTTATGTAGCTACATCATCACATCAATGCATATCTTTTATATCAGTTGTGCAATGTGTCACACAATCATTCACGAATATTATATTTATCTACACAGTTTTATTTTGAATAAGCTGGTTGTTATATATAACTGTTATTATAAGTAATGTGAAATCCATTGTTGGATTTTAAAATTAAAATTTCTTAATTAAATATTTATACTTTAGGCTAGCATCATATTACAAGGCAATTATTGACGTTGTGTGCTGAATTATTTTACATTTGTTAGGGGCCCTCTGACTCTAGTCCGTGTTGCCCTATAGTAATCACTCTGTCTCTGTCAGCATGTCTACGTCGTATGATGAGGTTGCCTCAACCGATTTTTAAAAATTTCATCAGTGTTAATTCCTACAAACCAAAGGTCCATTTCGTTTTGTTGAAATTTTGATAAAGAAAAACTAAGTTTTTTAGTTCAAAAAACCACAATTATTAAGAAACATCTTTTTGTGCTAGAATTTCAACCAAAATTGATATTTTAGTTATGATATGGTATTTAATATTGATTCCCAATGACAAAAACAGGTTATGAAATTCTTATGTTATGATGTTACACCACTGTCACAGGTTAGGGGAGGGTTAATGGCTCACAAACATGTTTAACTCCGCCATATTCTATATGCGCCTGTCCCAAGTCAGGAGCCTGTAAATCAGTGGTTGTAGATGGTTCATGTCCGTCATATTTGTTTTTTGTAAATTGTTTTGATATAAATTAATCTTCTAATCAGATTTGGACTGCTATCACCTCTCATAAAATTTTCAATTTGATACTTTTAAGAACATTTAAAGCCCACTGAAGATTATCTAGACAGAAAATTCTTTCGAGTTAAAAAAAAAATCTGAATTCAGTCTTTTTCAAAAAGTTCGTCTTGAAATGAATATTGTTGACAATTTTACGAACTCTTAAACATAAGCAGTTGTTTCTATCAAAGGGAAGGTCGGCTATCAATGTATAGAAAAAAAGCGCCTGTGCTATTCATACCTTTAAAATTATATCCCATAACATGAATGTAAGGAATATTTAGACCATGACATTACGAACCTAATTGAAGGACATCCAATGTTTTGTTTTTGAACACAAGAAACAGATTGTCATTATAGTTCATTTAAACAACGTAGTGGATGCCACTAGTAGAGCTGAAACTGTTTTTGGGGAGATTGGTCTATGGATTGTCGCAAGACTCAACTCAATGCCACTAGTAGAGCTGGAACTATTTTTGAGGAGATTGGTCTATGGATTGTCGCAAGTCTCAACTCAATTCCACTAGTAGAGCTGGGACTGTTTTGGGGGAGATGGGTCTATGGATTGTCGCAAGTCTCAACTCAATGCCACTAGTAGAGCTGGAACTGTTTTGGGGGAGATGGGTCTATGGATTGTCGCAAGTCTCAACTCAATGCCACTAGTAGAGCTGGAACTGTTTTGGGGGAGATGGGTCTATGGATTGTCGCAAGTCTCAACTCAATGCCACTAGTAGAGTTGGAAATGTTTTGGGGGAGATGAGTCTATGGATTGTCGCAAGTCTCAACTCAATGCCACTAGTAGAGCTGGAACTGTTTCGGGGAGATGGATCTTTAGATTGTCGCAAGTCTCAACTCAATTTTTGTATAAAAGTGACACCTAACATCCACGTATTCCAACATCAATCCGAATTCCGACAGCAAAAAATCTTATTCGGAAGACTCCGTATACATACTATTAGTATTTTACTGTAATTATATTATACAATTATAGCCTTTGTATGAGGTCGATACGAGGTTATATCGACCTAAGAGAAGCATATTGACTGAGGACGAAGTCCGAGGTCGATATGCTTCTCTGGGTCGATATAACATCGTATTGACCTCAACCAAAGGCTACAATTGTTATATTATTAATCAACAACTATTGCATGAACAATGTAAAATTGGGGATTTCTAGAATCTATTTTTAGTAACATGCTGTATGCCCTGTGCAATATGCTGTTTTTGACCTACGAAAAGCTAAACACAACAGTATTGGTGTGCAAACTGAGCAAATACAAATGTACATGTGATCAAGTTTTAACGAATCACTAATCCTTAAAAATATTCGATTAATAATATTACAAAATATTGATCACATGATGCTAGTATTACTAGACTTGCAATTGCTTTACATCAATCCGACACTAATTTAGTGTTTCGGCGGTTTTTGTATTATATGCTAATGATAAATGTATAACATTTATGAATGGGTTTAAGCATTGTAGGCCCGCCATCATCAGGGATTTACCTATCAATTTATTTTAATTTTGACTTGTCAATAGATCTGCTATATATTTTTATGCTTTTTATAAGCTATTATTGGTTTGCTTGAAAATATTTCGTTGCAAACCGCATCCTGTTTTAGTAGATGCCAATGTTTACTAATGCATTGTTTTAAATTTATGAATGCATGGATTGAATTTCGTTGCCAATATTAAAGGAATTTCCTTTGTGTGTTTTTTGGCCTTTTTTCTGATTAAATCAGATCTTTTACATGATAATGCCTCATTTATGTACTTTTCGATTTCAATCTCCTTGTATCCTCTATTTATTAAGTTCAATCTGAACTGTAACTAAATATATTGTAAATCAACATCATTATTTGTTGTTCTAATGTATTTGATAACTTCGCCCTTGATAAACCCTGCAAACACGTGTTGACTGTGACAGCTTAAACGATCTAGATAAAGGAAGGCATTTGTCGGTTTAAAGTGTGTTATCACATCCAAGATATTTTCATTAGAAAACCTAGTTCCTTTGAAAATATTAACATCAAGAAATATTATTTCTTTAGATGAAAATTCTACTGTGAATTTCAGGAACGGATGATGATTATTTGCTAACTCTAACAAATCCTTTATTTCCTTCCAGTCGCCGTGATATATTAATATAATATCATCACGATACCTTCCATATTCCATAGAAAAAGATATTTTTTGATTTTTACTTATTTCGATTCATTTAATCGGTGTATTTTAGGCAAGATATGCATATACCCAGGCCCATAATCAATTTGATTAACATTATTAAGGTAATTAAATGTGGAGTAATCTATAACACCTTTGGTGTACATGCCTTTGACATATTTTATTGATATTATATTCTATCATGTATAAAAATACATGATAGAATAACTGAATTCTTTCAAACCACGCTTGGTGTTAAACAAGGAGATAACTTGAGTCCTAACTTGTTTAAAATATTTATAAATAGCCTTCCAGATTATTTTACACAAACCAGAGATCCAATTATGCTGGATGACAAACTCATTCATTGCCTTATGTATGCTGATGACATTGTAATTTTATCTAACTCAGCAGAAGGACTACAAGAGAAATTAAATAAACTTCATGATTTTTGCAATGATTGGTGCTTAAATATAAATACTAAGAAAACTAAAGTGTTGATATTCAACAAGGCGGGCAGACATATCTCTCAGAAATTTATTTTCAACAAAGATGAGCTGGAGTGTGTATCTAATTATAAATATTTGGGTATCCAATTTAATGCATCATGTTCTTTTTCATATGCTCAGAATGATTTATACCAAAGAGCCTTAAAAGCGTACTTCAAATTATGTAATGATTTTTTAGTGCATAATCCTACTGTTAAAAACGCAATTCATGTTTTTGACCATACAATAAAGCCTATACTTTTATATGGGTGTGAAATTTGGGGATATTTTAATCCCTTTACTGCACGTTTAAAAAAAGAAAACATATCGGTGGATACAATTTACTCAAGGATACTTTGTAAAAAACTTCATATTAAATTCTGCAAATATATTTTAGGTGTTAATAGAAAAAGTACAAACTTTGCAGTTTTGTCTGAATTAAGCCGTTTTCCACTGCATTATGATATAGTCAAACATGTTTTAGGATATTGGCATCGTTTAGAAAATATTGGCTCATCATTTCCCTTGTTAAAAGTTGCATATAATTGTTCTAAAAAGCTATTTGAAACAAAAAATTGTTTTAATGGAAAAAATGTCAGGCATAGAAAAGCATATTCCTGAAAAATATTCAACATTTAAATTACACTGTGGTCAGATTGTTAAGGGATACTATACTACATTGTGGAAAAAACAGCTAGATATACATAAAGATGGTTTATTTCTTTTAGCATATTTCTTATAATGTCTAGCCATATCTGTGATCACAGAGACTAGTATCTGAAAGACTATTATCAATCAGCGCCAATATCAACAAAACGAAATGGTAGGAGGCGTGGTGTATTTGCCTAAACTGATTTTCATTGGCTCAGTTACTTCTGTAATTATGTTAAGAGTAATAAGTACTTCAATACATACCACTTTAATGGAAAATATAAATTCCAAAATTACATTATAAATAAAAACAATAAATATTATTGTTTTTCTTCACTAGGTATCAAGTGCCAAGCACTAGTTATTTCAAATAAACCAATAAAATATTTATTGTTTATTCCTAATTCTGATCACGAGAAAATGCAAAAATATCTTTCGATTTATATGTCCTAATCATCAAATGTTTCGTTGGAAAAAGCTTCCTGTGTGCTTTAGATTTCCAAAGATTTCACATGAGGAATATCCTCAGTGTTTCTCTTTAAACGTGATAATATATGCATTTTCTTCAGAATCTGTTTTCAACAACAATATGTTTGAAATACTAATGTAACAGTAACGCCAATTATGTGAATCGGACAGGATTGACCAAAGGTGCCGTATTTCCTTTCCCGAAACAATAAATAACTTTTTGAACCGAGTAAGCGAATTGTTTCAGTGACATTTAACATATGTTAATGTTTGACAAGCTTTTCCGTCGTAATGGCATCTAGTAGAGCTGGAACTGTTTTGGAGGAGATGAGTCTATGGATTGTCGCAAGTCTCAACAGCTGCTACTTAGAATTTGTAAAACGTCATCAGCGTCTGAGCAAAAAAATAATGAGCCAGGGTTTTGTGAAAAAACGTCTTGTCCTTTTTCTCAAAAAGTTCTTTGGAAAGTACGAAGACCTAATAAATATTCAGTGTCTACTTCACAAATAATACAGGATGGTCTTGAGTTATAGAATCAAGGTGCTGACTCTGTGTAGAAATTTGTCTACTTTACAGTTTTATCTTTATTTGTCTTTGTACCATTATTTTCCATTTAGTCGTTTGACTAGATCTTGACGTGGTCCGGTATATAT